TTATTACAATACACAGACTTCTTTCCTGGTACCTCTGTGCTTAACCCCTTCCCCCAGCTCCCAGGTTCTCCACCTCCAAAGCCAGAGGCAAGAGTGCTCCAGGTGCCTGGCCTTGGCACAGGCAAAGTGCCCTGAGAAAGCACAGCACAGCTCAGTGCCTGCTCCAACACGTCTCCTGGCTGGCCTTTGCCTTCCCTCCAGCACTGCTTGGTGGGAAAGGCATAAGCTGATGTTCACAGAGGCCTCTGTCTCTGGGCTGGTAATCCCAGAGCAGACAAAGGCTGATATCAGTTTCATGGGAGACCAAGCCGGAGCCAGCAGCTGGATCCTGCTGCAAGCAGCACCAAACCCCAAGTGACTGGGGCTTGGTCATTATCAGGCTGCTTGGACAAACATCATTATAATCTGGTCTATGCTTAACAATCAGTACAGCTGTTGATAATGAGCTGGAGAAATTGCCCCGTTCAGAGTCTGAAGCCAGGAAGACCACTGGACTTCCCATGGACCCTGATGTGTCACAGGTGCCGTTTGGACACCCACTATGAGGCCAAAGGCACAGCTCCCTGCTGGCAGTCCCTTCCCCAGACACAGTGCTGCTTATTCACCCACAGCAGCCACCCCTGCTTCCCCCCAGCACCCACCTCTGTGTCCTCCTGACACGCTTCTGCACAGCTAGCAGCTCCAGGACACACTGGGGCTTGCTGTCCAACACACAGTGCCTGGCTGTGATTCCCTCATCCATGAGGCATCCCAGCACCTACAGAATCCTGCAGAAAGGAGCTCTACAGATCACCACACTCTGTTTTGAACATCCTTCTCACCAATTTTGATGTCCCCCAGTTCCTGTACAAACTTCTGCCTTGTATGGCTTGTGGTTTCATGGACCACACCATAACCTCCTCAGTCAGCTCCCTCCCAGACTGGAGGGTCCCAGTCAGCCAGGCTTGTCCCACACAGAAGCCACTGCCCTCTCTAAACCTCTTTCATTTTTTACCAACAGACCATGTTGGTATGCCATAAATTTTGGTTAATACATAACAATTAGTTCCACTCTGTTCTCCTTCCTCAAAGCTCCGCATCTTTAGTCCCACAGAGACTTACCCACTTCTCCCACTGCTGCTTAGTTCCCCTACAAGCCCCCTGTGAACAGCCCTAACACCGGCAGAACAAGCTCCTGAGTTTTCAGGCAGCAAGTACCCAGGTGCATCTTCAGCACCTGGAAGATGCAGAATGCTGCATGGGGGCTAACCTTACACCCTGCAGAGCCCACGGGCCCTCTGCAGCCTGTGCTCATCTTCCCACCCTTCATTACAGCTTCTGCCTTCAGGCTGGGCTGGACAGTGAGAGAGAAACCCTGAGAACTCCCCCACATGCTGCCAGGGAGGAGATCACCATGCCCAGAGATGCTGCTACTCCCCATGGAGACAGCCAGCTCTTTACAGCAGCTGGGAAACTCTGCTACCTCCAATTTGTCAAATACCATCTTCAGTCAAGTTCTGCTAAATACCCTCACACCATGTGAAGCATGGTACCATCATCCAGGTTTCTGAGCCTCCCCTGAACTAATGGGATTCCACTCCTCTGTCTAAGTTGGCAGAGATAAGCCACAAAGCTGTTTCTGTATCATGTCTCACACTCCCTCTGCTCCTTATTCTCCCACAGGGCCATCCTGCTGCAGCACCATCAGCAACACCAATGGAGTTGAACACCAAATGGCAGTTTTCAAAGCTCCACCCAAGCTGCTGGATGTGGCTAGCTCTCCCTTGGCCCACCAGCTCCTTAGGAAGAACACTTGTTAAACAAATTTTTCCTGAAAACTACCTTGGGCCAACAATGGGCACCAAGAATTCCCTGGGGAGCTCCCAGCTTTCCCAGGCTGCTCTTCTGTCACCTCAACTCCTCCTCCCCTCACTTGTGGCACCAGGAGTCTGTCCCCAGACCCTGCCTGCCAGACAGACCTGCCCAGACATTACTCCTTCATGTACCCACAGAAGGGTGATAAAAAGCTTGCTGGGCTGCCTGATTTACACAACTGAAATGACAAGCGATAGAGGGATCAAAGCCAGTCAAGGAAGGAAGAGGTCCCCTCTGGATGGGCATACTGAAAAGGAAAGTGAAAAGGTCTGGGTCCTTGTTCTCCCTCCTCCTCTTTGCACTGCTCTGCAACCATTTCATGATGGCATTGTCCTCATCCTGGCAGCTCCTTCTAAGCCTGAACCTGCTTGTCCTCTCTGTGTAACTTTCTCCTCACTTCCCCCTTGCAGAATCATTCTGAAGGATCAAGCACCTGCTCCAGCTCTCTGGGCCTGGCCACACCACATTAAAATGGGATTTATGAGCCTCGAGCACAGACAAGAGTTATGCAGTCTGCACTTCTGTGTGCTGCATACCAACTCCCCAGCTGGTTTAAATCAGATTAACTCCACTGATGTAAGACATTTAAGGCAAGAGTGTTCCATGATTTACACCAGCTAAGAAGCTGTTATATTATAACTTGGCAGCTGCAGGTTTTAGATGTGAAGTTTTTTGGGCAAAGATCCCAAGCAACAGTAAACGACAGAGCAGCTAAGTGGCAAACCCCATTTAACCTCAGTGCAATGTGCAAGCAGCCAGCACATGTCCCACAAAAATCCCTAAAAAAAAATAAAAATAACCTGGTGTTCAGTTTTCAGTGCCACTGGTCTGCAAAGTCAATGTCCCATCACAATCCATCGATTCCAAACAAATAGTTAAATCATGATACTGTAGAAATGCCTCTCTTCAAAAAGTGATACATTTGGTAAACTAAAGCCAGGCAATTTTAGTACAAAGGTTGCTTGCTACTGAAAAAAACCCTATAGACTGATTAATGCAAATGCAAATGAACATAGCAGAGAGTTTAATATTCAGATCAGGGCCTTCATTTCTGCTAGAGGATGCTCAAGCTTCCCATCAAATCAGGATTCCAGGAAAAATTGGTGCTAATGCTATGGAGCCAGATGTGCTTGGAGAGGTGCACAAAAAGACACAGCACTCAGAGCAGAACACAGCATTCAAGGCAGAAGAAATGGCAAAGAAATACACCAGGAAAAATGGTAATACTGCCTGAAAAAGACAGTTTGGTCCTTTCTCCTCCAACTTAGCAAAGTGGCTTCTTCACACCAGTAGATACTGCTTGTCAGAGTCAGGAGGGCAGCAAGAGCCCAGGGCCATTCCCACATCACCTGCAGGGCTGCCAGTGGGCAGCAGAGCTGCAGCCTTTCCTGGTGCCTCTTGTTCAGTGCTGCCTGCACAGGGAGGAGGCTGGTGAGCCCCGCCAGCCTCATAAAACACCAGGCACCCAGCACAGAAAACTTGACCTCCCTTGCAAGGGAAATATAAATCAGCTTTACTAGCAGCTTCTGAAACAAAAACTAAACTCACAAAACTGTAAAAATGCCTCTTTAAACATCCTGTGCCCCGAACAGACCACTGAAAGCCCTGTCAGGCTGATGGAGAGCAAACAAGCTTTCCAAGAGATAAGGGCTGATGAACTGAGAACAGACATTTCAGACTGAGCAGCTTCTTGCTGGCAGGCAGCACGACAGGGATATCTTTAGCACACAGTAAAGACAGAGTAGGGAAACAGGAGGAGTGAATTAGCCAGCATTAATACCATCATTTGTATGCAGTGTACTTCAAAGTGCTCACAGTGCAGACAGCACCAGACACACACAGAATTACCCAAGTCTGGGGGAGAGCCATGTAGAGCACATTTGCTGGAGCCCACAGAGTAATGATCAGTGAGCTTGGAGGGGACCCTCAGGGCCACCACTGCCCCACTGTTTAATGAGCTAGTGTCAGAAGGCCATGCCGAGAGGACACGGGCAAGTCCACAAAGGACAGAGGAAGTCTCATGAAGCAGAGCAGAGGTAGGAGCTCCTAAGTAGAGCCAAACTGGGACAGACTCAGCAGGGGCACAGGGGAGGTGCATCTGCTCACATCTCAGCAACAGTGCACCTGAGATCCATGGCAGGAAGTCTGGAGGGAGTATTAGAGCTGGGCAGAGGATCCAGATGCCAAGGAAGCTGCTGGTGCCAGCGGTGCTAGCCCTGCGAACATGCACACGTGTGGGAACAGGCCACCATTGCATGACATCCACAAGCAGCTTTGAGAGGCTGGTCACCTCCTCCTGGGGCAGGTGTATGGCCAGGCAGGGTCTTGAGGCTCCTTGCCAACACTGCCACCTGCAGCCTGCCATGCCCAGGGAGGAAAGGATGACCAGGAAAGGATGCTGCCATCGCTGGTGCATCAGGCCAGCCAGGCAGCTGGCAGGGAGAGCCCAGGGACAAGCACTGGGAATGGACAAGTAGGGCTGCAGGAGCTCCAGTGAAGGGGTTTGGAGCCCAAGGACACAAAACCCTACTTGTGCAGCCAAAGACCAGACAGCATGCTGGTTCCATGAGAGGCAATTGCACACAGCCGGGGAGGAAAATGGCATCAGCTGAGCTGAGCCCCTTCTGCCAGTTGCCTCGTTTTCCTGAAGAGTTCTTGTTATTTCTGCACTTGATAACAGCAGAGGCACCATAAGGAAACTTAAGTGATCAGTGGCTGCTAATCAGTAAAGCTTTCCAAAAGCTCCCTAAAGCCAAGAGGAAAGACTCAACAACCACTCTCTGCTGGTACTCAAGAGTGCACAGCTCCACCACAGACACACAGCACCTATTTCTGCTGGCACCACAAGGAGAAGGGGCTGTAAACACACACAGAACAGGCCTGCTTGCTCCTGTCTCACCTCTCATCTCAGGGCGTAAAGGCAGGGCCAGAAGCCATGTGACAAGGAGAACCTCCTGTCACTCATGCCAGTGGAGACCTGGATGAGGTCTTGGGCTGATAAATCCATCACTCTGCAGAAAGAAGCAGAATCCTAGGAGTCCATCCCAAAAGTTTATTAACTTTGTATTTCAAATAGCACCGGATAACATCTCTCTGCAGAAGAGAAAGAGAGCCTGTGTTCTGGAGGCAGCACAGCAGAGACCTACCTTTGGGCATGATGCGATGCATTGCAACTGACAGGAAGAAGATGGAGTCGCTGTAGTAGGTCCCCGATCCAGCACTGAAGTGTTTCTGCATGGCCTCAACGATGGGAAACAGCTTTTCTGTCAGCTCGTTCACATCATGGACGATTACCTGGCAGAGACACCAGAAACACCACTCAGCTGCTGCTCCTGAGGACAGGCCCAGCTCCAGCAGCCTCTGCCTAGCCCCCATGAGCATGGGGCGAGGGGGAGCCTGGTAAAGCACAAACAGTGCTGCAGGCACTGCAGCTGCACAAAGGGGCCTGCCCACCCTGGCCCCTGCACAGAACTGGTCAAGTGCAGGGAAAGGAGAAGGACATTTACAGCAATTTTGTAACTGTAAGGTGGGTAGAGACTTGAATCCCCTCACACAGCCAAGTGTGTTCCATGTTCTGGGCTGTTTCTGTGGTCTGTTCCCACTGCCTGATGCAAGCACTTATCTGGTCTCCCATATGGAGTCCATCAGAACAGGCAACAGCTTGCTCCAGGCTCTGCTGTGCTGCTGTTTAGAGCCAAGCCAGAGCACATCACTTACCCTGAGGACCAAGGTTTGCTCCCTCCTACAGAAGCAGGCTGTGACAGGGCCAGGGATGCAGCCCAGATTTGCTGCTCCTCAGCCTGGCATGGAGGCAAGCTCTGCAGGGGGAAAAGGAGGACAGGCCGCAGCACGCCGATGAAAATCCAAACATCAGGAGCTAGAGCAGAGCAACTTCTGTAGATGGACCTCAGCCTGTCTGTGCTGGAGTTTTGCTGGTGCTCAGCCAGCACTGCTCTGCATCCCTCAGCCCTGTGGGAGCCCATGCACCAGCACGGGCCCTGGCATGCCTGTGCCAGCTGTGGCTATGTCCCAGAAATAGGAGCAACCCCAAATGCACCTTGCCAGCTACTGACATTTTACAGGCTTACAATTTATTTTGGTCAAAGTCCAATGAACAGAAACTTTCATGCAGCTCGTTATACCCACAGAAGGATACAGGTCACTGAATCACACAAGATAATGAGAGGGATTTTCGGGATAATTGAGAGAGATGAGGGACATGACCCTGGTGTAGATAAGGGGGAGTGCAGGAACTTGAGTGTGGAGACTTGGGGTCGTGCTGCCTTCTTCAGGTCAGGGAAAGCAGAAAAAGCCCTGCTGGAACTAAATTACAGCGAGGACGTGACATTGCAGCAGTACTTGAATTTTGTATAGGGGAATTTTGTATCGCCCTTGTTTGAGGGATACCAAGACACTTCCAAAAGCTGGCTCCGCCTTCAGCAGGGAACACAAACCACAATCTTTGTAGGTTGCTTTCAAACTAAACTATTTCAATGGTTCTACGGTTTCACTTCTTTTCCCTACTAAAACTTCATCTGCTTAAGAACAAGAGGACCTGCATTATATACCTAAAACATGCAGGATAGAGCACTTGCTTTAATTTTTTTTTTTTAATTAAAAGAAAACCTAAACCAAGCCAAATGCTTCAGAGGAGAAGGTGGCTCTGGAGCCTGTGCTAGTGCAATGACCATCCTCTCCATGGGGTGCACAAGGGGCTGCACTGATGCTCAGCTCAGGCTGTGAACAGTCTGGAGCTTCTCCTTCCACAGCTTTTTGCAGAACACAATGCTCAGACCAATGTGCTCTCACAGCAGAGTGGAGCTTGCTGGATGCAGGGTTGTGCTCGTGGCACCCATGGTACGCTGAGGCGATGGGCCCGTCCTGGCACTGGTCAGGATGGCTGGGCCCACGGCAGGGCAGTGCTGGAGGACAGGCACAGCTGAGGCCCCGTGGCCCCGTCCTGGGGAGGGCACCCTGACACCCACGCCGGGCCCTGGCCCTTGTCACAGCCGCAGGAGCCCTGCGCAGGCTGCGTGGCCAGCACGGCCCTCGGCAGGGCGGCCCCGCTGCCGCTGTCCCGGCTGCTGGGCTCGGAGCCAAGGCCTGCAGCAGAACAGCAGGAAAAACACAGAACAACGTGTTCCGGGAAAAGTGCACTGGGAGAGCTCATCGGCAGCCACACCTGGCTTTGGGTAGCACAGCATAGTCCCCAAGACACTGCAGGGGAGGAAACTCTCACCATTAGGCAGCGCCTCATCCTCGCCCTGCCGAGCTGCATGGTGGTTGTGCCATCGCGGTGACAGCGGCCGTGCCGAGCAGGACAGCAGCCAAAGGTGACCAAACAAGCAAACCAACACTACTCTCCAGGTGCAAAGGCACTGACAGCCTGTTCATGAAACTGAGCACCACCAGCACAGGGATGTGCGATGCTCTGCTCCCAGCCCAGCTTGGCAGGGGCAGCTTTGGGGTCTGGCTGGGCTGGGGAAGCATGGAAGAGAAATACAGCACCTGTAACCACCCTTGTGCATCCAGCAAAGACAGCCTGAGGTGCGTACAGTACATAGAAAAGGGGGGAAAATGTCAAACCAACTCCAGTCACCTCTGAAGTGAGCACACTGCCAAGCACCAGTGGACAAAATTTATAGGAGAAATACTCCTGAAACTCCAGACACAGCATCATCTGCCTTTCCACTCCTGCCAAAGAAAACAGGAAAAACATGTCTTTTGCCCGCTCTTTCGTACTTCTGCAAAGCAATCTCCTGAGCAGCTGAATTTTGCTAGTGTAGCCACAGGCCAGGCAGCCTCTCTGGGACTGTGAAGGCTTCTTCCCTCCTCATTGCTGACTTTAGCACAGCTTGTTGATCTGCTGCTAATTTTGTACTTCATTATTTATTTGTGTAACAGCTCTTAGTAAATCCCTGTAGCTAAATCTGACCACGTTTGCTGAGGGCATTAAGAAAAGTTCTAGGGGTTTCCTGTGCAAGCACAGTTTTATAAACACACATCCCACACTGATGAAAGACTCTTTCTACTGATTCACTAGGAAAAAACAATCTGCATTTCTTTTTCCTTTAACTTTCCCTCCTTCCCACGTTGCTCATCCTCACAGGTCTCCTTAAGCATGGCGTGATGGCAGCCCAGTTACATCCACCCCAGCAGCATCCTTCGTGGGGCTCATCTGAACAGGAAACCAGGATGAACAGAGAGCCGAATGTGTAGTTCGTGTTGTTACGGCAGGGAAATGGAACCAGTAAGACATAGGAATCGCCAAGGAGTCGCAGCGCACCACCTGGAGTGACAGGAGACGGGGCGAGCTGGTGCTCTGTGTAAGCAGTGTCGGCCGAGGCTGGCCCAGGCTCGCTGCCGGGCACCTCCCGCTGGCCGGGGGTCGGGAGAGGCGACAGAGAGCCCCCTGGCACCCGTGTGCTGTCACAGAGCCCCGGTGAGAGCCCGCCGAGGCCCCGCACGGGCAGACGGCCGGGGCCGGCTCCTTCCTCCGCCCGCCCGCCGCACGGGCGGAGCACGAGCTCCCTCTGCCGCCCGGCTGCGCTCCCGCCGCACATCTGGGCCACATCTGCACGGCCAGCGCCAGCGGAGACGCCACGCAGCGACTGCCCACGCCCGGACAGCCCTGCCCTGCCCTGCCCTGCCGGGATGGTCCAGCGCCTAAGCTGCTCCCACACACCCACCGCCTGCACCCCACAGCCCCTCTGCCCTCTCTCTGCACACTGTCCCCGGGCTGCAGCCAGCTGCTTTTGTCTCCAGGAGACTTTGAAAGTTACTGAATCTGCCTAGGGAGAGAGAAAAGCAGCCCAGACCATCCCCCAAAGGTTACGATCCATGTCTGACTCTAGGCTTCACTCTAACAGAGGAGCCAACTGATCCCAGCTTTGCTAGGAAGGGAGGGCAAGGGCAGCTCCAAAAGCTGGGCCTGAATCATTGCCTCATGAAGAAAAGGTAAAGTTCAGGGTGTTTTATCAGTCTGGCCTTAGTGGCTCCAGCTGCCCCCTGACCACTTTATCAAGCCTTATATCTGGGCCTGTGCTAGGAAAACAGCATAAGAACCAGGCGAGTGTTCTGCACACACCACGAGGAGCAGGAAAGGAGAGGTCTCAGGACAGAGATGGGTTACTGCTGGAGCTAGCTGAGCATCAGAATCAATCACTTTCAACATTTCAGCAGGAGCACCAGAAGTCCAAGCTAGGCATAAGTTTCCTGCTGGTAAAGAAGAGGAATGTGGTAGCTTACAACAAGAATAAAGAGGTGCTGTCACCAACTGGCGTTCCAGAAACTGGCACAGGATTTGGACAAAGCTGCATGCTTGAGAAGCAGAACTTCTCTGTATCTAAAAGCAGAGAAATGGACTGGTCCAAAACACACTGGCAACCTTAGGCTAGCCAGTGAAACCAGGCTACATCAGGCTCTGCCAGGAAAGAGAGAAGCGGCTGTCCCACTGAGCAGATCTCAGCGAGACCTCACCTGAGGCCTCCAGATCATGCTGCCTGCTTATACCCAAAAGACCAGTCCTGGTGCCAGACATACTCACCAAGCCATGAGCCAGGTTTCACTATGACTCCACAGGCACCTACAGACAGGCCAATCCACAACAGACAAACCATTTCACGCCTCCAATTTCAACTCCAGTTGCTCTGGAGAAATGAGGCTGGCAAGGGTGCCTGCTGAGATGTTTCCCAGAGGGGCAGATGGCAGTAAGGCAGCCACCCACACAAAGAGGTGACTGCAAGAGATGTGGCCTGGGATGTGACACCATCGTGGCCTGGGAGTTCTCCCACTCCAGGAGACATAATACCACAAACCTGGGTTGGGCTGCTGCACAGCATCAGCACTGCACCATCTTGGGGCAGTCAGTCCATCCTGCTGTGGAGAGCAAGAATCCTCCCGAGGGAGCTGTGCACACCCTGCAGACAGCCAAGCACTGCTGCACAGTGTGGGTCTCCCATCACGGGTGGATGACCTGACTGAGGGCCAGCACTAGAAAAGGACTTGTTTAAAGAAAATCAGTGGTGGAATTATTGACCAGGAAAGTGTCTGTATGAAAAATGTTAAGGTCACACTTCTAGTTTCATCTTGGCAGAATTCAGCTAATATGAAATACAGGACTTATGAGCAATAAAAGTTACAGCAGGACTAGAGGACACTTCCAAGCAATGCTCTGCAGCAGCACCTCAGGACAGGAGAGTCAGGTTACCTGGAATCTCTTAACATCCCTCCAGTTTTCAGACACCCATTTAATGCAAAGGAAAGCCTGACCTTGCATAAACTACACTGGCTGTAGATTTGGGAGGCAGAACCATTTCCCTAGAAGCAGGAACATTTGCACGTGGATGCACTCCAGCCCCTGCAGGCTCTCCATTCCTGCTCTCAAGAGCCACTAGCAGCAGGCCAACCTTCTCTTCTGATCGGGAACCCATCGAGATACAACACACGTGGTCCCTGTGCTGAGATGATGAAAACAGGACCAACAGGGCCTGCAGGACAGCAGCACTAGTTAGAGCAACTGCTCCTCTCCAGCACAGGCCGGAGGTGCTCCCAGGCCACGCTGCTGCCCAGTCAGAGCTGAGAATCGCTGGGCTGACCAGGACACCTCCCCGCAGGCAGCAGCGGTGGGGACACAGAACAAGCCCCTCAACACTCCCGAGACTGGGGAGCAGCGGGAGCTCCTCCAGCAGGCAGCGGGAGCGAACCGCCCTGCTGGGAGCCGGCACATGGGCCGCTAGTTGAGGGGGCTCCTTCCCGCTGTTCCCAGCGTCCCGCGGGAAGATCACACGGACACCGCGGCAGACCCCGCTCGCTCCCCGCGGGCCCGCTCCCCTCGGCCCCCCGCGCACCTGGTGGCGGAAGGCGGCGCCGCGCAGCAGGTCCCGCAGCAGCCCGAGGCCGATGTCGCGGCTGGCGCCCTCGGTGACGAGGTGGAGGTGCAGCACATCGGCGGCGCCCAGGCGGCCGTGCCGCAGCAGCGAGCGCAGCGCCGCCTGCGCCTTGTCTCGGAGCGCGGGGTTGCGCTCCGCCTTGGTGAACATGAACAGGAGGTGCAGCCCGCGGGGCCCCGCGCCGGCCGGGGCGGGCGGCGTGGCGCGCAGGCGGCGGGTGGCGCTGGAGAAGGTCTCGCCGCCGCCGCCCAGGTAGTAGAAGGCGCAGACGGCCAGAGCCGCGGCCGCCGCCAGGGCCGCGGGCTGCGGGCAGCGCCGGCAGCAGGGCGGGGACGTGGCCGGGCCGGCCCCGCACAATGACACACTACACACACCACAGTCAAGTTTTAGATACAAAGTCTACAGCCGTACATAACGCGAAGGAGAGCGGAGTATACAGTCTGTACAATTACAGCTCAAGGGGAGGGGAAGGGTTTTCTTACATTTTACTGCTGGAATGCTTAAAAAACACCGAGTACAGAGGAACGCGCGGAGGAAAAATAAAAGTTCATTACTTCGGAGAAAGTAACGTCTCTGCTTGAGGAAACGATGATTTCATGGCGATTTCTGTCAAAACATGGAAAACTTAGGCTCCTAACAGAAAAGTGAGTGGAATATTTCCTCCTCTGTCATCTCCTTCCATGGGAAGAGAAACAAGAAAATACTGTATGCAGAAAGATAAAGCAAGCATATGAAAGGGTATATACCAAAGTGGTACACTCATCCTTTTCCCCAGTAGTGGCTCTCCAGAGTTGTCCCTGTTTTAAAACTGTGCCTTTGTGTAAGCATGGATGCAAGGCATATTGGCTGTCAGAATGCACAAGCCATAAACTCCAACTTGGGAAAAAGTGTCCATAATGAATGGGGCAGAGATTGTAGCCTGAAAAATTGATTCTCAAAATACTTTGTGTATTGTAGAATCAGAATAATCAGCTAAGTCCTTTTGACACTGTAAAAATATCACATCCTTTGTACTTACATATTATTATTTGCAGTTTCATCAAAGGGTCATTTCATAGTCACTGTGTTATTTGAGATTCTCAACATGAAGCAGCAGAGGTAACATCCACAATTTAAAACAGATGGCTGCAGAGAAGCACCGAAGTCCTGGAAACATGACATCAACCCTCCACTTGTTCTAGTTCTCACCTTTTTAGTTTAGTGCTACAAAGTTTATGCTCTATCCAGGAGACCTAGTAATTTGGACAACACGTGTACTGATGTCATAATGCAAAACAGGAGAAACTTCCTCTTGTACAGGGATTTGCTGACAGCAGTTGGAAGGTCTGGTTGCATTTTCTAAAACTATTTCAGCTCAGTATACAAACATGTAAAATATAAAACCCCACAGAGTGAAAAATGCAGTATTAATACAGGATCCTTTAGCACTGTAACATTAAAAGACACGAATGGTACAATCTAAAATCTCCAAAATCACTGCTGCCACTGATATCAGTGACTTCCTGGATCAGGTCCTAATGGGCAGAGAGGCTGAAGTCCACAATTACTAATGAGCATCTGGAACACACATCCATCCAATTGCAATATGGGCTGTTTGTGAAAGCAAAGAAATACCTCTACAATCGAAATTCACCTTCACCCAAATTCATGTGGACAAATTCCAATTGTCTAACACAGGTAGTGACATAATTCAATTGATCATTCAGAATTTAAGTTTAGATGCACTGTGCTGATACAAACATAAAACATGAAACCTTATGAACAGTCAAAACAATTGATACCACTAATGAGCCAGCACAGACACTATTTTAATCAACGTGCAATGGACATACATTACACGTCTGAAATCAAGATGCATTAGAATGTAAGTTGAGTTCCAAGAGACTTTTGGAACACATGATCTATAAATAGGAAAGATATTATACTATACTTCAATGGGCTATCTAATACAGAAAATTACTCAAAATCCATGTGAAAGATGATTTTAAAATGTGTTAGGAATCTTCTGCTTTGTCCCTCACTACTATATTTCATACCTAAAGAGAAACATGAACTGGAATTGAATCTTTCCATTTCCTGGTAGAAAGTACAAGATGTTAACCCACAATGGAACCTTACTGTCTACTATTCCACTTAGACTCCTCTTGTAATAGAGAAGGAAGTTTCCTAATATTACTGAGCAGAATATTAATATGAGTCAAAACCCGATATGGAATCCAGATCTTCAGAGCTGTGGTGATAATCACACTACTGAGGGCTGAATCCTGTGTGTCACAGAGGCCCTGGAGCATGGAGCCTGCCAGAGCCTGGTGAGACTGAGCCATCAAACGTAAAGGTACATTCATGTCTGCTGCACCTGACCTGAAACAGGCTTTAACTGAGTGCAGTTTATACTGGACATCCTATCATACCCAAAAGGACAGGGGAACAAGGCTGAGGATCACAAGTGACACATCTACTCCCGAAGCCATTGAAACTCCAGAGCTCCTGACAAGTCACACCACCTGTCAGTCAGGTGGGATTCATCCTTTAGCACACACAGACTGATACTGCTTCCCAGACAGATGAGAGTCAGGAACACAGCACATGGACATGTAGAGCTACAGGGAAGCAACTTCTCAGTCTAGAGAAATCATCCTGCAGAATTTGTCACAGAGATTTTGTGGCAAGGGAGGAAATCACCAGTAAAGATTTGAAATAAGTCACTCAGACCTGTTCTCCAGCAGCCTGGACTGAGACAGCAATTATGCCACTAAGCTTTAGGCAGCTTTACATTCCAGCAAATCACACTGCCTGCCAGCCAGGCTGGGAAAGACAAACATTTAGAAAAACCTATGTCTGAGGTGTATATTTTGCAGTCATATCTTACATTGTCCCATCTGTACTCCAGGAATCTTTCTCTAACATCTACTAAAGCACCCATTTGCTTGTAAATGCTGCTGATTAGGAAGTATATTATCATTTCATAGGCAACTTACTAAAAATTACTGCTTACAGGTGATATCCTTAAGTTTCTTATTATTCAGACTAAATGTGCACTTTAAATGGGCAGAATCTGCTTTTCCTACCATAATTAGACCACGTACAAAGCAAAAACTGTCTTGTAAGATTATTCTGCTTGGAGATAAAATCCACTGGACGATTCTACAACACTACTAATTTTGTAGCAGTAATATTATGCAGACTATTACACATTTGATGCAAAATTATAAATGTTTGAAATACCTTCTTAAAACGTAACATGCCAGAGAGTTTAACTTTACCATAGTTTACAGATTTCAATTTGTTTTATCCCAGTTTTGCTTGTCTTTTCACAGAGAAAAGCCAATTCATTTCCTAAATACACTTAAACAGCAGGTTAACAATGCCACAGCTATTAGGATTACTGAAAACTCACATTGATACCATGTCATCTAAAAACTCTGCTTAAGCTGTCTCCACAGGGTAGAGAAATAGAGGATAAAGAATTGCATCTGCTGGTTTGAGGTTTAGAAGGATTATTATCTAGGTATAAATAACCTGATATATAAGCATTTATCTTGAGACACCATCTATACATGCACAAGGGCAGAGTGGAGCTCACTACCACATAAAGCAAATTGTCTTGCTGCCCTCACAACACAGTTGGAGACTGTGCTCATTCATTACTTGATAGAAATGTGCACTGAAATTCTAGTTTTTCCTGTGCTCACCTTAGTTTAGACAACACATAAACATACACATAATAGCAAATTATACAAGGGCTACTGCTTCCTGATAGAAGGGATTGATTGCCCTAAACAGAGAGTGGCTGCAAGACATGAGACTTTTATACTGAGCTTAGGACTTGTAGTGTGAACAGCAAAAAGTAGAAATAGCCTTTGTACAACTATTCTACACAAACTTTGTTGGCTCAATATTTACTTGCGTGTCTCAAATTTCAAGTTTTCAAGTCAAAATACTACAAACAAACCCCACATCATGTCCAAAAGGATTCAGTTTATTTTTCATGAAAGGTTCCACATGCTCATTTAGAAGGATACTTGCTGCACTGAAAGTTTAATTTAAGAGGAAAAGAAAAAAAAGGAAAATGGACTGCTCTTAGGAATTTGGTCCCCAGGATACATCCCTTTGTGACTGACCTGCAGTCACCAGCATAAAGGCCAGCCTGGTGCTTGAGCTTCCACTGTGAAAGAGCTTGCAAAAGAGCAGGAGTTATCTGTTAAGAACAGCCTACCTCTAAGCAGAGTCACCGCAGGAACAAGAGAATCTGTTGAGCTGCAGTCCCAAAAATGGAAGGACAACTCAGTAAATCATTGCCCAAATTCCCTTCCAAACAGTCCCAGAAAATGCAACCCAGACCTTCTTGTCAGAGGCACATTCTTTATGGCAGCAGGGGGACAGATGACAGTGGGTGACCCTGGGTAGCAAAGCTGCTGTGAGCCCCCTGCAGCCGGAGCCCAGCCGTGCTCTGCCAGCCCCAGGGCGAGCTGCCAACGCTGGCCGTGCGACAGGGGCTGCTTTACACTCAGCTAGCAGGGACTCAGGGGCTCGAAACATCTTCAGCTGCTGAGGTATATGTACTGGAGAACATCAACCAACTCATACACTTCCCCAGCTACCACAATTCTAAAGCTACATTGGAGTGGTCATTTTATCCAAACTATCTAACAAAATGCATACAATTCATTCTGTTATAGTAAAAAAAAGACTTGCACTATAAGCTTCAGGTTCTTTTCCTTCTTGATACTTAAGACCTGTGGGAATCTGACTGCTGGAAGCGGTTTAACTTCTCTGGATTATTTGATGCCATTTGAGAAAAGTCACGAAAAATGTCCTGATAAATTTCATCTCCTAGGTAGAAAAGAAAAGAGAAACAGTTTTAAGCATTTGTAATAGTCAACAGCACCCACCACTGCACAAATGCCCTACTGCGCTATCAATTACTGTGTAACACTTAATTCATGTATGAAGACTGCTTCTAGATGGAGTGATGCTGATGTGAACTCTGAGGGACTGGTTACTTGCATGCATGTTCTGTAGAAGCAAATTAAACAAAGCCAAATACCTGAAATAGTACCTCACAGGCAGCCACACAGAGGAAAGTTCAGAGTTAGAAAGGAAAAGTTAAAGCACTTTAAAGCAACTTAAAAAGAAAAAAAAAATATTTATTAGCTGTTAAACAATAAAATTCTTGTTTTTGCAAGGAAATGTTAACCAAGATTCTCTACAGAAAAAAAAGAATTATGGCATAAATAAAGATTTACTTGGAAACAGAGATCAGAATTCTTACAGCAAAGCAGAATTCTCCATGAAAGAAACAATCAGCAAGCAATAATATATATATTAAAAAAGCAATATTAAGTAGATAAATTATTGTTCATAAATTATTTTTGTCTATTACTTCAGCAAAAATAAAATTTCCACATTCATTTAATCTACATCTTTCATTACATTTTTCAGTTTGATCTATAAGAACAATGATACTTCTCCTAAAAATCTTATTTTTTAAATCTTCACCCTTTGCGCTTAAACACAACCCTACTACTGGAACATATTCCAAAATACGTTCCCCCCTCCCTGTCTACACAGGAAAACACATTCAGGAGTGATTACTTCTTGAGTCATTGCCAAGTAATTCTTTTGCCGCTTTAAAATGGACATTTTTTCATTCATTTTCACATTCTTTCATTTATTGGAGCATTCTGGGCCTTGAGCTCAAGTTCTGTTTTAAAACTTAACCATACCCTTTTGTCTTCAAAAGGAATGAAATGCATCAAACACTGGGTTGGGTCAGGAGCTATGTAGCCATCCAAATTTTAGAGTCTTCCCAACACAGATGGCCACACAGGACACAAGATCCCAGCACTACTGTTTCTTGCTGACAGCTTGATTAATAGCATGACAAAGAAATCAACCCAAAATCTCTCTCATCGTGTACATCAAATATGAAGATTTTTTTTTTCTAACATGATTGTAGAAGAAAAGAATGTTTTTGTGCTTAAAAGTTTGCACTACTGGGAAAAGTTATATTGTTTTGTTTTTCAATTTTTTAATGCACATTTGCAATGTTAAAACTATAATTCTTTTGGAGATGAGACTCCATTCTTTTAAAAACACTTTCACAAATAATAACTGACCTTCCAGAAATATTTAACAGGCAGTAACACAATTCTTCCCAGACTTTAAAAGATGAATACATTCAATACTGCTCTACTAGGAAAAGTCAGTTCCCTTTTGGTTTTCAGATTTAATTTCAAGTATGGTGTCCCTGCCCATGGCAGGGGGGCCGGAAATAGATGATCTTTAAGGTCCCTTCCAACCCAAACTATTCAGTGATTCTGTGTTCTAGAGATGAAGCAGGCACAGGATAGGTTTGATTGTAACAGCTTGTGAGAACTTCTTGCTCTGGGAGACCAGCACAGAATGGAGCTGTAACATTCACCAAAAGAATAGCTATGAAGGGCAAAAGCAGAATTAGGCTTCTGTGTTAAAAGCAATTATGCTTTTAATACAGAAGTGGGTTCCACTGGTGAATGAAAACTGCAGTTCAAGTTGCCACACTTGGTTCTTTCAAATTAACTTGAAAGAAGAAAAAGCTATTTTTGAAAGATACACTGTGGCTCTGGTTTTGTCTCTATTACATAACAAAAATATTACATAGAAAAATAGACTAAAATAAAGTGCCCCTTTAATTTGTATGTTGCATTAATATGCTTGATACTGTAAACCTTATCATTATTTTAAAATTCTACTTTAAAATTGAATTCTGGAAGTTCCCTTTCCAAGCAATGTTTTCCCTAAAGTGCAGATTATATGTACAAAAATACTGCAACACTGCTTTACCATTTCACACCAGAGTAACTCAAAAGGCACACATCATACATTCAAGAAAAGGTAGGAAGAAAAATTAGCAATGCTAATATCAAAGAGTTAGCAAGACGTACTGTAGCACCAGGAGATGAGCACTCAAGTATTATACAGAAACAGCACTACGGTGCATATGGCTTCTACCACCAGAAATCACTTTTTAAAGCTGGTTTCAGCTAGCTCCCATTCCAGGAATGTTTTGGAAGACCAACTGTACCTTGCAAAGCAATATATTCATTCTCTCAGTAGCTCAAACCAGCCATATATATTTAAATTATAAATTTTGATGCCATTAGCTACATGAGCAATTGTTTATCAGTTGCATTGCTAGAGCTGAGAAGTAGGCAGTTGGCTTCACTCTGATGACAGCAAACTTACACAATGACATTTACCCTCACACAGCTACCAGCAAACATACAATTGCCTTGAAAATCCTTATTTTCTTCTAAAATCATAATTTTGGAACACTGGAGTTCTAAAGTAAGGACAGTGCAGATAATTTAACATGTATAAGGAGTGAAAAAGACCTGCATCCTTCAAAACCACAGAAAAGTGTAACACCTCATGACAGCAGATTCTGTGCTTACACTGACACAATCCTTCTACAGCAGACAAAAACATTCAAAATACTCAGATACTGACTCCAACTTTCAAAATGAACTTCAACAAGTACCAGAGTGAAGAGGGCAGAGCTGTGCTATCCAAAGACAGAGTAAGATCTGTCCGGGACTGTGCTTAATTCCAGAAGTTATTCTCATGAAGCCTCCCCCTGATTTTGGGCAAGTTCTGCCTGTTGTGGCAAATGCACTCTTCACTGTCAATCTCACTTTACCAGCTGTAAAGTGTCTGGATGAGATTGCATCAGCTGCAGTCTCTAGATTCTACTGCTCCAATCTGGTAACACCCCCCTGCCCAATCCTCATGAATCAGTGGAAAACACATAAGGGCTTTATAGGAGTGAACTGAGAACACTCAGCACTCAACCTGAAAAACAAGGTTCACCTTTCACTTCTGCCAGGAACAGCAGGGTGTTTGTAGCTGTCTAACTTCACAATCAAACGTGCCTTCATTATTGGTACTTGCATGATATTAAATTACCTTCCTATGGAAGCAAATATCACATCAGAACACGGTGTAAATTAGGTCTGAGTGCCTGAGAATAAAGTTGTACATATGCATTAAATATAATTTGTTACTTTCTAGCTGGAGTTGACTCAAGTATCTGCCAGCTTCTATTTGTTTTTTAACCAAACAGAAAGAAACTCTGCATACAAAAATACATACTTAAGAACGACTGCTTTGTTTCTTATTAGTATCTTAACAAATAAAAATATTTAAAAATAAAGTTTAAGGAAATAATACTTTCCTATTTTTGTCTGGAGGCAGTTTGAAATATTTGATGTACATTTTTTACATTGGTGTGAAAGCATTTTTTTCTTAAAAAAGAAAAAGTGGACCATTCCACAGGAAGGAGAATGGTGTCCTGGAATAAGATGAACTCTTCAATAGTCTCTAAGTAAGCTGAGTCGGAAAGCTGCTACTAAATAATGTCAGGTAAATCCTAACATGACACAAATGTCAATGAAACAGCAATAGGAGAAAACTGTGGACAACTACCAGCAAAATAGGGTGGTCATGGCTGTAGTAACACACTGCTATAATGATGCTCTTTAACCAGTCTCCTTTTAGGTTTCCTAAGTACTCTGACAGTCACAGCACTGAATTTCAATGAAGCTTTAGAATGTGGTGGTTTATAAAAAACACTGTTGTATGAAGCAATCTTAAATTTCCTACAGACACTAAGAATCTAATTGTAAACTGATAAATTCCTGTATACACTTCTTATACTGCATTTCAGTGTGGTTATTAGAAGAGTATTGACCTGGCTGCCCATAGAGTCCTTCCGATTCACGCATTTCTTCATTCATCCTTGCTAAACGCAACCTGCCATTCAGAAAACAAAAGGAACAATGTCACCTTTATAGCACAAAAAAGACTGCAATGCAAGACCTACAGTGCTATCCTGAATCTCACATCAAACAGGTCATCTACAGATAGAGTATTTTGATTTTTCTTTTGTTTCCCCGTTTTTATGTACAGGAATTTTGACATTTCTTTTATTTTTAACTTGAAACATAATAGCAAAATCTAATTTATCTAGTCAGAAAACAGAATGTACAACTTACAGTGTTACAATATCTGCATTTGCAGCTTCCACTGCTATACTCAATGGATCTTTCCCATCTTCATCAGTGGCATGCTGGTTTGCTCCTCGTTTTAGGAATAAGCACACTTGTCTGTTTAGAAAAAAAAAATTGAAGAATACTTTTGACAATGAAGGAAAAAAGCTAATAAAGTCAGGCTAGATACAATGTATATAGCTTAAATCATCAAAAGTCTCATATATATCAAAATAGTGCAGTTCATCTAGAACATGTTAACAGAGTAGTAAGCAAACCATTTATTTAATCCACATTAGAAAACACGTGTGTTTTGCTAGTGGATGAGACTGCCAAATCAAAATATTATTTCCCCTCTCACAACCAGAGCTTAAGAAAAACTCGTATCATCTGAAATAGTATTAAAATATCAGAATATCTGGGGCAATGAAGAAGTTTGACATGAACAACTACAGTCAAGGACGGCCATGTACAAATTGTGGGGCAGTGAGTTACCCAGTGTGTCCTAGAACTGTGGCATGGTGCAGGGGCCCCCTTCCTTTCATGTCTCTGATGTTCACGTTGGCCCCATTCTGCAGCAAAAATTCACAAGTAACCAATGAACCCTATGGAATGAAAACAAAGAAACAACTCAGCACCAGATCTCTAGGAACAACCAAACCTCTTCTGCCTTCTCACTACTGAGCCACCCAGCAAAGGAAACAAAAAGGAGTTGCTTCCAGCTTTAAACACTACTAGACATAGAATTCCAAAAAAAGCATTAACAGGAAAAAAGTATTTCAGAAACTCTGAAAGAACACTGTAAGCATAACTTCAGCACCACATTATCATTCATAAGGGGGGAAGCAAGCAGCTCAAAAGGAACAGTGACACAGAAATATCATTATTTCCCTTGCTGTCCTCCCCCATCACCAGTGCTGTATATCACATACCCCTCGCACTGCCTGAATGAGTGGTGTTGCTTTGTTTTCTTCCACGTTGACCCAGTTTACTTCAGCTCCATGAGCCAATGCTTCTGCCATGTGAGGAAGATTTTTCTCAAAGGCAGCTTGATACAACTGCAGTCCTGGACTAGGCTGCTTGGAGTCACAGAACACTGGAGACTCCTGCTTGTCTCCTTCTGAAAAGAAAAAAAATTGCTTACCTAATTCCTGTTTTAAAAAGGTACCTGTTGGAATTCTGATTAAAACATCATTTCTCTGAAAATAAAAGCTCAGCTTTTGCAGGATGCTATGTATTGTTGACCCATTCTGCCAGGGGAATTCACAGCTGCCTATAGTGCCAGTATTCAGGCACAGTCTCTTCACAGAACTATTACTGCATGGAAAACATTCTCTCCACATTACTGGCACATTGTGTATATACTTCAATCTACATATTCCATGTAATTTCTAAGAAATTGTTTACGGTCTGGAGTGTGTTTTACTGTAAACTGCAACATATGAATAAAACTCATTTTCTGTGAAGATGTAGTCATACAAATATATCTTTATCTGAAACACCTGAGTATAAGGCTAATACTGTTCTGGCCTAATTTTTGTTAACAGATACCATTGTCATTTACCAATTACTCGCTGTGGCTATAATATTTTGGACTAAACCACAGTCTTTCTCTTCATCTCAGTAATGGTTATATGGAGTGATGGGAGTCTGGGACATAAAGATGTTGTTACATAGAGACTTTTGTGAGTTACGGCATCAAATATTTCTACAACACAATCAAAAAAGATCCAAGCCACATGCTGCCTGCTTGCAACAACACCTGTGAACTACTGGATTTAAAACATACCTTAAAAGAGTGCTTTCATGTAGAAGAATAGGTCTGCTTTATAAACCAATGTTTTGGAAATTTTGAGAAGCCATACTCAATATATCTGTCAGAACAGTATGCTAAAATTAGCAAGTAATTTCATTCATCAACTTAGAGAACTTCTGAGTTGAAGGAATGATGTTTAAAGACTTGGTCAATTCCACAAAAATAAGAAACAGAAAAAGTAAGCAAGAATGCACAAATAACACATAGAAGCCCACTATCTGTGACTCGAGGAATTCTATCTCTCTGGATTTATTTATTTATAAAAGGATCATGCATTTGGCATCAGCCACATCTGAATGGAAAAAACCATAGTTCTTTGAACCCATTTAGAAGGATGTAATAAATGTAATTTTTGGTAGCAAACCCAAAAGAAAGATCACTCAAGCAAATTTTACCCTTGCTAAAAGCATTTCAACCAGGATAGCAGACATGAATTATATCACCAAGCATTAATCTTTTTTACATAAAAAATGCTGCCAAGTGATTAAATTTTCATCTTACAGTGCAAAGCCTAACACACCTGGTTCATACAAACTGTTGGCTGATATAGTAGAGGCAAGGTGTTCTCTGCTGTCATCAGTGCTTGGCTGGATCCCACTGTCACTGCTTCGGACTGTTTTGAGGAGAAACTGCAATTACTATGCAGAGCTGAAGCTACCTGCTCCTCACAGATACCATGATAATAAAGCAAGCTCTTATACTTGGTCCTGAACATAACTTTAAAAAAATGGCTTGTTCTTGTTCAATATTCTTAATGCATCCATGGAAAAATATGAAGTCACATTTTGTAACCATAACATTTACAATAATAATATTAAATGTCAAGATATCTAGAAATTAAAAAAAAAAATCAGGATAAGTAAAAAAGCTTAAATTATTTCATGAAAATACTAAGCAATGCAGCAGGCTGGAGACAACAGATTGAAGCAGGGAGATGGCCACAACACACAATGGATCACTAGTGCAAACAGTGAACACGCCACAGCTGTAGTACTTACTACTACGGAGTTTTGAAGAGGTATCAAAGTAGGAGAAGAGTGAATCAAGCTCATCAGGACAGAACAGAGACTCCCGCCTCGCCTCGTCGCTACTTACAGCAACCGCTGGGACATGCAGGTTAGCAAAGCACAAAGCAGGCAGTAAGGAAGGGACAGGGCAGGAAAGAAGGTTATTGGAAAAACCAAGAAGGATGAAAATACCAAGGAAAGAAGGTGGTTAATATGATTCTGAGTTATAAGCATCCCCATTCCAAATCCTTCCCCGTGTAAAAAAGCATATCTCTGAAGAAGTCTTTTCTTCCCTACACTCTACACTAGGCTACAACCCATTAAAAAAACAGATTCCATAGTCTCTGCACGAGGCAGAAGTCAATATAAAAATATGTTACCTTAAAAAGAATATGGGTAATACAGCTAAGGAGAGAAGTGTGTAAATACCTTTTTGGGATGCTGCACCTTGCTCCCCTGCCAAAAGGGATTTTTCAGGGCCACTGTGCCTTTTCTCTTCCTGACTTGGAGGCAAAACTTTTGTTCCAGGCTCAGGCAGAGGTACTGATGCAGCTTGCTTCTCTACAAACTTTCTTTCCACATATTTTGCTCTGATGTATGCCTCCTTCTCCTGCCTGTCATATACAAAATTCCTGGAGTTAGTAAGCTAATATTTTAGTATTTTCATGTATTAAAAGAATATCTATTTTGTACTAAAGTCAGTAACCAAAATTGTAGCTTGGCATTGCACATAAGACACACCCATAGCACATTGTCAGAAAGATGGAAAGCACACTGTCACTTTCTGGATTCTTGATTAAATTTTGCATAAGGCTCAAAAGAAAGTAATTTTGTTAAGTTCACAAACATGTATTTACTTTTAGACAGAGACTTTGGAAAGTGATATGTGGAAGAAATAAGCATTAGTTCTTCTATGTTAACTGTATTAAACCTTTTTACAGGTTTACGTTGTTAATAACTTACTAATAAACATATATTTAGTTTCTAATGTAAATATAAATTGCAGCATTTGTTACAGGAACATTAAGATTACACAAGAAAACAATAACAAGCTCTAGGTAGGCACAGCCATCAGTTCCATATCACATACTGAAGCATTTTTCTTTGTAACCTGAGGTTATCAGCTTAAAACACAACAGCAGTTGTGTCAAACTGATAAAAGGGGCTGCAATTATTGCATTGAAACTGCTGAAAAGCAGTTATCACTAGAAGGAATATCTAGCAAATCTCCTACTTTGTTTGTATTATCATCACTGTCTTCAAATTGCCAACACTTCATAAAATGCAGTTTTCTACACTATAAAACTGCTAGGCAGCACAGAACTGGAAAGGTAGTAAAAAAGAAAGTTCTAAGAGACATCCTATACAGCAGCACAAAGCATTGGGAATCCACCTTCAAACACAGATTAGCATTAGAGAAATAGAAGACAGCAGTACAATGATTTGAAGGCTGCTGTAAAGCAGCACAGCTCATGTACAATGTAGGTAGGAAGATGAGAACATTCTGAGGATCAGGGAACAAAAGTCAAATGGAAGAACAAAGTCACTGTAAACAAAAGGAACAGCCATAGGCTCCTTCCAGGAGCACTCACACACCAGGTATAGCTGGCTGAGCTGGTACCCAGCAGAGGGGAAAGAAAATCCACATGTCCACAGTGATGCTCTAGTGTCATCAAAAGAAGGGAGTGAGAACACACAAAAAAAAAAGAACAAATGAACAGCATAAGGGACCAACAGAAGGACTGCCCAATAAAGAAAGTGAGAAAAGGGAGAGAAACAGGGAAATGAGTACACTAAAGGAGTGTAACACAGTTAAGTGGCAGCATCTTTTACAGGTGGAGGCTGAAGGAAGCAACAATAAAAGGAAGCAACAGGCACTGCTGGTAAAATACTACCTTTGACTTCCAGATTGTGGCTTCTTTACTCCCACTTTTTCCAACTTCGCTTCATATATTCTATTTATAACATCATTTCCCAATTCACACATAAGCTATAAAGCAAAATGAATAAATTCAAATATAGTTGCAAAAAGCTTTATCTACCTATTCAGTTGTTTTTAATCTCACTCAGTCTATGTTTACAACTTAGTGTTTTCACTGGTAAAAGTACACTAACAGAAATAAGCATGGGATTATATGATAATAATGAAACAATCAGTGAATACAGAGACCAAATTCTGAGTAAAGTAAGAAAAAAGTCTAGTAATTTTTAAAGTGCTTGAAAAACAACCACCAGAATGACACCTGCAGGCCTCATTAACAAAGGTGCTTTTCCACCAGCTTTGCTGGGAGCTGTTCTTAGCCCATCAGCAAGAGACAGTGCAATCAACTGTATTCCACCTTACCCAATGGACATAATCTGATACAACTACAGAAAAGGAACAAAGACAAAGGCCTACTTACAGGAGAATTTAACCTTATTGATTGCAATGAACAGATTTCTTGTTTTTAATACCAGGTAGAATACTTAGTTCTGGTATGCACATAAATAGTACAAGAGGTACAGCTTTTTTTTTTTTCGAGTGGGCATGGGAGTTGGTTGGTTGTTTTCTCAGCATGAACACATTGATACAAAAATTATTTAACCATGAAGCACGTTGTCTTTTTATTGTTCAGAATAGAGAAGCAATTCCTAAGTGCCAGAACATCACAGCTGGAAACAAATGTTTGCATGAGTTATACAGTTGCACACATGTATCCATGCATGAGTTCCTATTTCAGGATTTCAGTGTCACATGATTTTTATAACCATGGTTCAAGCTACAAATTTGGCACACAACAGCAGCTGCATAAGTATTCCCCTATAGGCCAGAAGCACCTCACTGTTAAGAGCTGACATTCAAATTTTTGAGTATGATCATGCTTTAGGCTGATATATCACTTCCAAAATTTTTAACCCACTGGAAAACATTATTGGTTTGTAAACAGATTTGCCTTTTTATATGTTGAAAATATCAGATGAAACTTGCTACTCAGAGTGCACTTGGGAACCTGAAAGTGCTGTGAATTGTTCCAAATCGCAAGTCTGTAGCACAAATTACTAAGGAGTATAAGAAAGTATGAATTAAAATAAACCAACACACAAGTATAAACATTTTCTGCTCAAAACTGCAAGACATACACTGGGTACAAATGTGTTTCCTGCATTGAACTTTCTGATGCAGAGGCTTTAGGATAACCATCTAAGTACCAAATAGAAACCTGTTTCAAAAATACTTTACCTTTAGGAGTTCAGGCTCCCATGAATCCAATGTTAAAGATCTTACTTTTGAAAAGTGGACTCCCAAGCTCCTAAACAACATGGAAAAAACCATTAACCTGTTATATCTTATTAACATGTTATATCTTATCTCAGATTTACCATTAATTTATGCAAATAAAGCAGTTACCTTAATTCTATTTACAAACAAGGGTCTCTAATTTTCTTTCAATATACCTTTGAAGAGGCAAACACCACCCTTGCTAATTAAGCCAGTGCACAAATGAAATGCAGCTGTGAGGAGCTCCCCCACCTGTGTATCCCAGAGCACTCGATGCACAGTGTGATTCCCAGGTTGATACTGGCCCAGCGAGGATCTGCCAAACCACAGTCACAGCAGGCAGCATTACCAGCAATGCACTGGACTCGCTGCAGAGCACTCTCTCCTTTCAACAACTTCTCTTTTGTCTCACTCCCAGATTCTAGGCTCCCAGTAGAAGGGGATGATTTCTTTTCCTGTTTCTAAAAGACAAAAGACACAAACCAATTGAGAGACAGGCTAAACTAAAGAAATTCAAGTCCCACAGATACTGACTGTACATTAAATCCAAGAAAAGTCTCTTCTACCAAGGCCAAGGAAACCCACAGAATTAAAAAAAATGTTTAGCTTTTTAGAAGACATATAAAACTGAATATCAGAATATCCTATGATTTTTAATCACACTACAGAGAAATCTCAAAAAAACATAGAGATCATAGTAATATTAACATGATGAAGTGAAAGACAGATCAGATACAACTCACAGCCTTCAAAATTTCATTGCATTTCCACTGGAAGACAAACAATGGATAGTTTCTTTCCTTCTCTCTCATTAAAAGAAGTTTTATGTATTTAAAATTTTCAGGATCTAAAGGGAGGTAGTTTTTTTGTGGACTGTTAAACTCACCTCAGATTCATCCCCTTTTTCTCTATATGCTGTGGCAATACTGGTCTGAACAGCCTTAATCCATGCCTGCCGCAGCTTTTCCGAGTCAGCCTGAAGCATGCAGCTCCTGTGACAAATCACAAAGTACTCAGAGACAGTGGCCCAGCAGCTGACATCCAACAGCACATTGCACAGGGGTCTGTTTCTATGGAGCAAGTTTCTTGCTATCACAAGCTTAGTAGGCATCATCTAATAAACATGTTTATTTTAAGGTATAAATCAACAAAGCAGCTGAGCCTTTGTGAGCTGCAAACTCCTTATTTCAAAATTATTTGCAGGTAATGCTAATAGATATAGAAATGACTCTTCCAAAAACTCTGACAATGACTTAGCTTCCTACCCCTTTTCTTATTCCAAATTTTTCTTTTTTATATCCTCAAATGTATTTTACACCTGTGACACAAGACACAGGTATCAGTCCTTGAAAACACACTTTCATTCACTGACATCAAGAGAGAGTAACTTTAAAGCTCTATGACAAAGAATGAACTACTTTTCTCATCAACAGTAAAAGAAACAGGTCGTGAAGTACAAATTAAGGGTTGAAAAAGCACAGGCAAGCAAGAGCCAAATGCATGTTACAGTGAACCACACTGGGGATGCAAACATCAGGATGGAGAGCTCAAAAGAGAAAGCTAAGGAGGAGTGGAAAGTGTAGATAACCTCCAAAGCTAAAAGCAAGTTGACCTCGTACCAAAACCTTAAATATGGACACATCTCACAATCACTAATGAGGAATCTATGTCCTGCCCTTGCTGTGGCAGGATGCCAAAATTCCCTAAGTACAGCCAATACACTGCTGGAGCTGAAAAATAATTTTATTTTTCATTTAGTAGTTTCATTTAGTGCATTCTGAAGTATAATTTATCATCACTGAGACAACAGTTTATTTATGTGCTTCTCTCTCATTACACCAATCAGGAATGTGGAGAAACTGAGACCTATTTTCTATGTTACTAAGCAGCTGATAGTATCAGCTACTACTAAGCCGCAGCAGAGCTCTGCACCACAAGACATTTATGCAGAAAACACAAGAATGCATGTTTATTTTAATGCCAAAAGTAAACTAAATACCAGGAACACTTCTCACAGCATCACTTACTCTCAGCCAAAATTTCAGAGAGCAGAATTTTTCAGATACTTTTCCTGTTTTGATCTATCCCAAGAGAAATGTTAATTTTACATTTTAAAACAATTACATGTAATGATTTTTATTTTTAAATTAACATACTCAATTGCTTCTCCTTACTTTGTTGGAGAAACCACCTCAAAACAGAAACGTCTTTCTATGTCTTCACAGTGTTTAACTGTGCAGAGCCGCAAGTCTTCAACAACTACTGTGGGATTATCCTAAGAGACAAAAGTAAACAAGAAGGTCACAGAGAAAAAAATAATATAGTTGATAATAAGATAATAATTCAATCCTGAATTATTAGAATAATTGAGTTCTATTTGCCTGGTTACACTAATTTTTTCCTCCAAAAATAAAATTTTAACTCAATGGATTTGGCGATCGGCAATCCAATCTACTGAATAATCAACACCTTAAATTTAAACAACAATATTCAAACTACAAAGATACTCTAAGAAATGCAATTAACTCACTGTTAAATCAGAAAAGTTATACTTAAATCAGCACTATTTTAAGTGCCACATAAAAAAACCCCAGAAGCTGAATGCAGTGGTTTTGAAAATTTGATTCAATTAATAAGAATTCCATTCTGAGCTATCAGCATTTTAAAGGTACAGTTCAAAAAAAGAGCAATGAGAGTTCACAAACACAGAATGCCCAACCAAACATGCTCAAAGAAGCTCAGCAGCGTGTTTCCTTTCCAACCACAGAAATTAAGCCCCTTGATTTGACAGCATCAGATAACAAGGAACAGCCTCTGATCCCAGTCTGTTTACAGTGAAGAGGAAATAACTGCCATAAGCTCTTCCCTCTTTTTTCCCACCATCTCCATACAGTCTGTGGTTTTTTCCAACCTGAAAAACAGCTACAGCTCCTTGGTGCAAAAGCAGAGTCTAGAATAGCAAACAAAGGAGCAAGGGCCCAAAACCTGACTGAAAAGGCTTCTATGGCTTGGGGCAGAACTGGACTTGCTGATTTGATATAAAACGGCTGCACTTCCCACCAGCAACAAGGCAGATACTGACTGCTGAGCCACTGTGCATTTTCAATACTAAATACATGTATATAGCAGCCCTGACTGCTTTCTAGCAAGCTTTCATGCCTTTTTCCCCCAGTTGCTGAATTGGGTGTGTGAACCAGTAAGTAACTGGAGGAGCAAGTCCTGAAAGAGTTAAACACAACTGCTCAGAGAACAGTATGGAATATTTCACTGCCAGCAAGTGAGCACAAGCCTTTTGGGACCAACAACTTTTAAAGCTCTAACTAGGTTACAAAACCCACAGTAAATAGAGTATGTGCTTACAATCAGTGCACAGGAATCTCAGAATCTGTCAGTGTAGCTATTAGTCTCATTTTACAAAGGGAGAAACTAATTTACAAGAAAGCAGTAGGTTGTTGAAGATCACATAGAATTTTCACATCAGCAGTTTCCCCAATCAGTCAGGAAAATCATCACCCAAACCCCAAACTATCCCAAGCCAGTTTTCAACACCTACCTTAAATTTCTTCTGGTACACAAGTTGGTTATTTTGTATTGAGAACCAGCGCCTATTCAAATGAAGAGACATCCAGAGAATACATAACTGATTTTACAGTGCTTATGTGACTGAGATGTGCTAACATACAGTCTACAAAGAGACTGCATAAAAGAATTCAGGAAAGTAATACTGCAGTCAGTTTTGGCAAATATTTCATGAGAATAATGAAAATAGGGAAAGCAGAGACAAAACAGAAAAGAAAGCAAGGTTCAAATAATTTGAGTGATAAACAAACACATTCATGTTATGACAACATTAGTTAAGCTATCACACAAAACATTTTCATTTTAAAGAACATTTCCTTCTGTATTTTAGCAGCAAGTTACGATTTTAAGTAGCTGTTTGGTAACACAAATTCAGATAGTTTGAATAACAAAAATACTTGAACCCATGTAAACTAATCCTGAAATATTTTTGGGAGTAGAACTAACTTACTAAAGCACTAAAAATGCTTCAGTGTTGCTATCCCATGCAGGTTTAATATCTACCTACATTGGGCATGCCTAAAATAAAAACACTGCATATAAAAACTAAAAAAAAATCCAATGAAAACCTTTTAAGTAGGATCCTAAATTAAGCCTCAGCTTTGAAGGAAAATCAAATAAATCAAATAAATGATTTAATGAAGGCATCCTGTAAAATCAAAAAGATAATGTAACGCTTAAAAACTCCTCTGAACTGTATCCTTCCTTGTCAAACTCGGTGTTCACATAGGATACATCCCAGAGAATGGAAAAAGCACTCACATTTTGGAAAAAAAACACCTCAGATCTCTAACAATGATGTTTTATCAGACCACTGAATGAAAAAAAAAACCCAGTAGACATAACCATGCCTTTCTAGCTCTTCTGGGATGCACAAAATGAAAGCTAACCAATTATCAGAGTTTCATTTTCACTGACAAAAATGAAGGGAATGTACAAGACAATTCAGTGAAATTTACACCTTGTTTTGTTCAGGGTTATAATGCAAACCTGTGTTTACCACTGCATCATTCCTCAATTATCTCCAATACCCCACCTTTACCACACATCACTTTTTCCTGCACTACCAGTTTGAATGGTAACAGTACACAAAATATTGTGTTGCAACAGATCTTGTTATTCTCCACAGGCTGTAGAGCTTCAAGCTACAGTTCACTACAATTAGTAACAAGAGGAACCCATGTATTTATTCAACCACCACAAGCCATTCCTGGAAAGAAGTGCACAAAGATGGTTAAGAAAAATTAATATATACAAAAAATGTTAGATCCCAAACAGAAAATCTAGTATTTGTTAGAAAGGTTAGTGTTTCATAGACAGATGAGATTCTACCTTTTAAAACAATCTTTTCAAATGTTGTGCAGATATATTTAATTTAAAAAGCAACAACGGGATCTCTTGTCATTCTTGACTTTAAATTTATTAACAGCAGTAGTTTTAGTCACTGAAAAGGTATCATCTTTACCTAGTTTTTAAATTTATTAACAGCAGTAGTTTTAGTCACTGCTATTGAAAAGGTATCATCTTTACCATCTATTTACAGATGCAGTAAGTGTACCCCAAATATAAGGCAGGTTATTGCTAACATTCATACAGGATACTTAGCAAAAAAGCAGACTTGAAAAGGAAAAACTCACATCTTTTTTCATGTGTTTTTTTTTGATAGTAACACAAAAGAGAACAACATGAAAAGCAGTGCCTAAGTGATAAAGGGAGTGGTAAAGGGGAAAAAAAAGCAGCCTTGTCCCAAGACAACTAGCAATGAAGCAAATCCCTAGTAAGAGCCTTAGGAAGTGCAATTAACTTAATTAATGCAATGCTTCATTTGTTCTACAGCTAAATATTTCATGAGTTACTCTAGTAAACAAGCTCTCATCTCATCAGTTGGATATAAGTGAACACACAAATTGTAACACAAATTTTTGCCATCTTTAAAACCTAATCTAGAAGTTTTGAAAGTATTTCAGTCCCTTTTTTTTCTACTAGAGAAATTAAATCTGTTAAAGAAAAATATTCAGTCTAGTCACAAAGGGCGCAGGTTTTGGTGCCCTTCTAAAATCAACTTTTACTGAATGAGACCAACAATTTACAATTTTGGATAACGTGTAGATCACACTTAGAAGTAGATGTCAGAGTTAATACATTGTAATTTTTTCATAACAAGATGAAAATGTCAGACTGCCCTTCAAGGTGTCAGCACCACAGCAGTTTTATTCAGGCCAAAACTCGGAGTTATTCCTCATTAACCAAATACCATCAACAAACTCCTGACTTTACTGTAGCAAACAGACTGCTGGGGGTCTACACCAGCATCAGCCAGGAACTTCTGAGGTACAATCTCTGTATTGAAGGTGCTGCTATAGGGTAACCCACATCTATCAGCTTCTAAGAAAAATTTTAAATCTTCAGGCATCATGTGTGCAATAAGTACGGATTGTTACCAAAGTTTCCTTAAATATCATTCTGTCAAAAGCAAGAGAGAAGCATGGTGAAGGAGAAAACATTCTTTGGAATATTAAAGTAGTTTACACTGTCTCACTTCATAGTGGTTAAATATAATTGTTCCTGTTTAGAAACGGAATGTTTTCCATCATGTATACCTACAAAATTCAAAACTGCATTTATTAAATAGGAAATCTACAGAAAAAAAATTCAATCTCTGAGAACTGAGTATAATACTGAAAAAATTATAAAATTTGAATTTTACATAAAACAATGAATTGTGCTTTATGATTCTCAGTTTTCTCCTCTAGTTGCTACCAGCACATAATTAAAACAGAGTAATTAAGAATGCACAACATTTAAAAGTACATGTCTAGTCCCAATGCAGTTGATAAGAAAAAAAAATCTCATCAACTTCAATTGGAAAAAGGCAAGACATTGATCTTGTATGCTCAGAAGTTTGAGTGCAGAAATTTGGCTTTAATTCCTTTTTTGGCTAAAAACTAGCTCAATCTTTCTAAATCTTTTAAAGGATTTGAGCAGCAAGTATACTGGCATCCCAGGCAGAATCCTTCTGTTATTTTCTTAGACTGAGTCACTTATACATCCATTGCAAGTAATCAAAATTAAATGCAGGGTTAATGAAGAGCTTTTTGCGTGCCAAGGAAACATTGGGAAGGTATAAAAGAAGCTGGTTGGTACCTGATGTGATCTGGCTTTTTCCTGTCATGTGAAAAAATGGGGTAGGATTAAAACATAAGGGAAAGGAGGAAAAGGGATGAAAAATGCAAAATGAGCAAAATAAGAAAAGAATTAGCATGATCTGAAAATACAGCAGAATTAAAAAGGAAAACATCTATAGCATCCAACCTAAAACCTATTTGGAACATACTAGTGATCTGACAAATGCTTTTCTCCCTACACACATTTATTCTTTCTTTATGATATGGACTTATTTTTCATTTGAATTTCTGGGAACCAAAAGAGCTTTCCAGCTACTGTTCCATAATAAATGCACCTGACTCTTGCTCCTGATGCCTTAAGAAAACTGGTGTACAATAAGGTGTATCCTTCATCAACCCACAGACATGTATTCTAAACACAGGTCTCCATACCTGTTATTCCAAGACTTTGCAGTACAAGGATATAATTTTGATTCCACTGAACTGTATTATCTGAAATACTTGTGTACATTATGTCCTTTTAGTCACAACAAAAAGAGATTACAAAAGCTCCATCTCTCTCAAAACAGCGACACTGAATTGCAAATAGCTCAGGGTTTACTTTGCAGCTTGCTCAAACACTTATTTGTTTCTCCAGTGTCACATAGAACTGTCCCAAGAACAGGAAATTTGATGCAAAAGCCCAAATAACTAAAGTCTTGAGACAATGAAACACGAGCTGCCAGGTGCTGCAGGAAGAAATTTCATTATGCTAGCAAGACATGAGTTTGGACTGGAAACAAATTTTCATTCACCACAACAGATTTGCCCCCCTTCAAAGGGCTGTATTATACAGCCTTCTTTTTTTTCTCTCCCAGCAACCAGACTTTTCCCAGGATAATACCGCTATGGGGTCCATGGACTCACTGGCCAAGACATGCACACAGAAGCATCACATTTCTCTCATTTGTCAGCTAGAATCATTCTGCTGTGTCAAACCCCCACAAAACCTATCATACCCTTGTCTCCTCTCTTATGTTTTTAATGTTGGCAAGTCTCTGTTAATAGTGGCCATTAGGATGGATTTTGGTGCATTTAATTCACACTTGAAGGAGTTCTTAAAAAGGTCTAGAATGAACATAAGAGCAACTGAGACCAATGAGGGTAAAAGAGAAGCCTCAATTTTAATACACATTACTACCGACAGTGCATTTAGCAGTCAGCAAGGAAGACCAGTGCTGTCGCCTTTGGCTCAGAACAGCAGGAAATTCCAGTATTTCTAGAGAAATTCTTCTAGTTTTGTTTCAGCTGGTTGATTTTCCACCCACCTTCCCCAAAGATGGTGATATAATAAGGGAGCAAACTGCTAATCTCTAAGAACACCAAAAGTATCTTGTCTGTCTTGACTTCAGCTCAGAATTCCCTAAAATAAAACACATAATGCTCTGAATGTTTCCTCCTTTGTTTGATATTTTGTAAAAGTTTACACACAGAACAGTTTAATGCAATGACAAAATCCGTTCTTGTACTTTAACCAGTGACTGGAAAACCCCTATAATCTCTAGTATATGATAAACTTCAATCAGTACAATTCCCCACAGCTGAAACAGCTGAAAGTGTAACACTACACAAGAAAAACTTTCCATCATGGGAAACAGGCAGTGACCACTTCTGCACCTACAGTATAGCAAGCAATTACAAATGTATTCAGAAATAAAAAAATACTTCTTTATTTTTATTGAAGCATAGCAAAAATGGGATACTAGATTCAGAAATAAAAACTTCATTAAGGTCTTAAATGTATATTTTATGTATGATAAAAGTAGTTTGATAGCAATTAGTAATGGTTTGTGAACATGTGGAATACAAAATTTAAGTGACTGATTCAATTTCAGAACTGTTTCTAGACAGCATATCCAGTCCTATTTTTTGCCTTAAAGCATCCAACTAGTCTATCTCAGTGAGTCAAATTATCAAGGATCTAATACTAAAAAGGTTAAATGTTTTGCTTCATTGAATGCTCCTGTGATAAACAGAAGAAAAAGCTATAAGTAAGTATCAATTATGTAATAAAAGTAGGCAGCTCTGACTCATTAATGAGCTGTTTATCTTTGCCCTCTTAAATTATTAATTTAATATAGATAATTTAATATGGATATGCTTTTATTATATTTGTTCAAATATGTAACTTAATCTGAAGGAATGTCATTGTGTATCTTGATTTAATTACAACTGCTCCTTATTTACTTTGTGTCCATGTAAATTACCAACATACAGAGGTTAGTTTTAACTGAATCCTACTCTCTAACCACTTTAAAGGTAAGAGACATGTACAGTATTCCTAGGAATGACACCATGTGGAAGCAGACACTCCTGTCCTGCTCCCTCCTGTCACCTCCCTGCAGAGCAAGGCCTTCCTGCTATTCAAAAGAGGAACCGAGAGACAGAATTTCACCATCAGTTATCCAGCAATGGCAAAAAGGACCCTTTCAGCCCCTTGGGAATCCTATAAAGGACAATCTCCTGCCCTATTACTGCGGATCTTTCTCATTATGCTAACACTAACATTTTAGTTCACACCAGGAAGGTGCTTTTGATGCACACCTCCCAGTTTTCTCCCTTCACCATCCTTTGATGCTTCACAGATTTGTCTTGAAGAACTCGGCATTCTGCTTGCATGAGAACAACCCAGAAAGTACATTACAATTACAGATGATTAATCAGGCCAAAGCAAACCCTTTTGTACTAGTTGCCATGACTTGCTAATATAGATAAAGTCTTATTGGCACCAGTGGCCCTTGCATCAGTCTCTGGATTTAATTGAAGTGATCCCAATTTCTTACAAGCTTGTGGTGTGTTGAGATGCTCTAGGAAGTACAGAATAAGTAAGATTGGAAGGGACCACCCACTCAAATGCACATTCTGTCCTTTGAAACACAGCAAACAGTTTAACAGGGCACCACTGAAAAAAACAGCAGAACATGGACAATAGAGAGCTCTTTATCAGAACAAATTACATCTAAAATTCAAGAACTGTATCCAACTGTGTTGTAAATGCTCCAGCATATATATTTCCTTGAAAAAAGTACACACCCTTGGAAATGCAAAAGAAATCCTGTTCAGGAAGAAAAATATTTAAATAGTAGTAAAATATACATTGTTAAAGATATATGACTAACAATATACTTTGAATTCCCAAAAGGGCCATCAAAACTACTAAGCCAAAGTCACCGCACAGGACAGGAATTTTAAAGGATAACAACTACATTGCTTATCTTTCAGGAAAAATAACTTGAGTCCTTGACTGTGTTTCTCTGCTTCCAGTGGCTATACAACTATTTCACTCTGTCTTCTAACACTTTCCTAGCATATGTTTTCACAAGGGAAAGGTTTACAAACAACTAGTACAGAAAACAAAGAAAAATGGCTGTGAAGTGTCATCTCTAACTTAACTATCAGAGTCACCCCAGTGTTCTGTCAAAACTATGGACTCAACAAGTTACAGAGATTATGAATCAGATGAGAATTCAGGTTAAAAAGCAGTATTTTTATTAGCAGCAAATAGAGGTTCTGAATAATTACCTGTTCCAAGTCTTGAAGGCATTGCTGGCTCTCTTGAATAAATAACCTTCCATAACAATGCCATTGGCTGCATCTACATTGTATTCTAGTTTAGTATCATCACTGGAATAATCCTAGTACAAAGGAACAAGAAAAACACACTGCAGTTCAAATGAAACTTCAAATATGAGCAGTACTGTTGTCAAAGAGTAAATATCTAGGAATAAGGTTTTGCTTGCAACACTTATTAGTCCAACCATGACTCTCAGCCCCCGATGGCTTTTTTTAGAAAAGCAATTTTAAGCAATGAGAATGCTGAAGATTTTTACTTTACCTGCAACAAGGGGAATTTCTTGTTCAGGTATTGGTGACCTCTACAGCCAAATAGAGGGCAAACATTGCTGACAGAGCATCTGATGCTTCAACTGTCTGCTCAAATGGTCTCTCATATATTCCCAAGAAAGGGGATAGAAAAGCAGAGGAAAAGAAGCCATGAAAGTTAGGAGTCAAAACTGAGAAACAGCTGCAGCTTGTTGTAGATATGTATAAAGTCAGTTGTGCTTTAGCATTTTCTTCACCTCTGTCATGTTGACAGCTGAGCTGCATAGGAACTTAGAAGAAAAGTAATCAAATAAAGATGATGCTATCAGCTAACTCTAGAGTAAACCAATCATGGTGCTGGCACTGATGACAAGACCTTGGCAGTAATTTCTTCTTTATGATCTTGGATAAGATTATAAAATCACAAGTAGGACAAGGGAATATGCATTTCCATCAACTTAATAACAACCAAACCCAGCTAATAATAATTAATAGCAGCTTTTTGAGCTTTAGAAAGGCTGACTGCTTAGCTTATTATCTTATCTTTAGCAAAGGTAAGTTAGACTAAGTAATAACACATGTGATGATCGTTTGCTTTCACATCTCATTGAGAACAGCATGGGCTCTTCGCAGGGAGGTAGAGTTGCAACATTCAGAGAGTGGGAGGCTAACATCTACTAAGGGTGCATGAAAAAGCACACATGGAATGACATCATTTCTCACAACTTTGTCCAGCAATGAAAATAATATACATGCTGTAATTTTATTTCATTGTTATTAAAATATATATCCTTAAAGTAGACTAGCAATATACGGCTTCTTTCCCTTAACATGGGTGTAAGAGACACATTACTGAAAATTAAATTTCAGAAGAAAAAAACCGAACAAGTTAAATACTGAAAAGACAGAACATTTTGTATTATGTCTTTCCTGAGCCTTCAGTAGTTACTTTTTGTCAATTGCAAACATCAGCTTTGTGTGAAGAGTATATCTGAAAGTCTCTGCTTTGTACTTTGCTTCTTAGAATTTGTCTATACATAAAGGAAAAGAGGCAAGAAATATATATAAAAAAGTAGCTTCAACACCAACATGGTCATTATCCCCAGATAGTAGCCCAGGATGCACACAACTTTCGTGCTACATATGATGTTTACTCTTATACATGCAGATGGTTTTTTCCAATCCAAGGTTAATTACACATGATAGTGAAATGGTGACAAATATTAAAATGGACCTTTAAGTTCCCCACTCAGAACAGTACAAATTCCTTAAAATTATTCACTGTTTTAATCTATTCTTAATCTGGATAGATCACCTAATGTTGAAATGTTAAATCTAGATTTTTATTATTGAATTGACAGATGATCAGTGCAACAGTTCTGAAAGAAAATGGAACAACCATATCACTACCATACACTGATCTGAATAAACTTACTAGTTACAAATGAAAGCTTCACCAAAAGAGTATATTTTTGTATTTATTATTCAGCAATCAGTAACTTTGATTTTCTGTCTGTTTCCTAGATCAGAACATGCTGAACATAAAAGGCTTCATGTAAGCTCTCAAAATAAAAAGAAGAGAAAACCACTATGCACAAACTTAGACATGCTGATGTCACATTCCCTACATTCCCCAAAAACTGATAAATTACTCTAACTTACCAGCTCCCAAACATAATGAAATCTGCTAAAGATTTGCATCTTCCTGCCTCAGTGATGCCCGCAACTCCTTGTCTAGTTAAAGACAATAGATTTCCTCAGTCTTTTCAGTCCAACCTACTATGTAATCACATTTTCCTCTGGATTTGGAGAACTACTGGAGAAAATGCAGCTGTCTTTTCCAGTGACTCCAGATCTATGCTTTGAAGGTGTATATGGATGGTTTACCATGCCACACTCTCAGTCAGAATAATCTAAAATACTGAGCCTTTTCATGAAATGCATTTAGTGCCATTTTTAATTACTTCCCTGATTGAATTCCACTTTTACAGAGCAGAAAAAGACACCAGAGTATAGAGGCAAATGTCAAATACCTCCTTAACTGAACATGGCAGACTACCAGCTGGAGGAGGGAGGGAATAAGGCTTCCATGTGCTTTATCCATAAAGCTTCATTGATAAAGTTGTGATCAGGAAAAACAATCAGAAAAAAAAAATGTCCCATTTCAATTCCATGGATAAAAGTAGAAAAAGAAACTAAATTAGCTGTGTTCCAATCTTAGTCTCTGCTATTCTACAATTTAAAAAATAGGAGCAAAGCAGTCATAGTTATAGTTTATTTTTATCTTGGTGCATGGAAACGTTTAATGAATCATGAAAAATAATCTGGGGTGGAGAAAAATCCACCCATATCTTTCCAATGTCCTGCATAAGAGAATCACATGTTAATAAACTCAGTCACTGTATGTGATTCAGAATTGTGTATTCTGCCAGCAGGCACACAACTGATAAAGACTTCATTTTAAACATAATTAAACTAATTAGGTGTCAGGACTAAAGTAGATTTCACCTAACCAGAACTAAGACAATTTAGCCAGTATTATGTAATTTTCACTGAAGTGCTACATCACACATTTCATTTAGTTTTGGAAGAATAAACATCTGTGGCTTCTATTCTGACACTGACTTTTCACGGTTACTGGAAGAGAAACATGTAGAAGTGGGTTATATAAGTGAAGCATACAGCATGCTTTCATGCCTTTTTTTCCACCCTTTTTCTTTAAATGTCCATGGGGTACAGCAAACCAGCTGGCAATGGAAAAACAACTTTCATCTCCAGAAATAATACTAATCTGGTGTGTCACAGAACACTTAATATTCTTGACAGTGTTTCAGTGAATGCATTTTCGTATGAATATATCAGTTCATCACACCTACTTGATTCATTTCAGAGCATGTTTTCTGTTTCTCTGTGCATGATTTTCTTGTTCCCAAAACAAACCCCCCCATTACTTTTCAGTAGCAGAGCTTTTGATTTACTTTCAAAATTGCTATCAGGCCATGAAAGCTATTCAAACCATTTTACTAGTAAATCTTTGGAACTATATTTTAACATTTAATATGTAACCCAAAGTATTTTTTACTTTAGAAAATCAGCATTTTTAAAGTTTTAAAAAAAGGCAGTAAATGGGAGAGCATAAGTACTAAAGAAAACACTAACCTGAAAAATTAGGCCAGCATATACTAAATAGGAGACACTAATTGTGCAAAGGCCCCATTTAGAAAGCTGCTCCCACTCCCTTTCCATTGGCAAGAGATGTTTGTCATGCTTAAGCTGAAAAGTCCCTCGAGGAAGGGTTCAGAACAACAGACACCACAAATAACAAGGTTTACAGCCCAAGACAGAGTGAGAGAATGCAAGAGTGTCCTCATGCAAACAAGTCACTTGAAATACAAGCACATATTTGGTTTTGGAGATAGGAGTTAGTCTGCACAACTTCTCAACAGCAGCTCTGGTTTATGCCTGCTTTGTGATTGTGGTAGCAGCTGGTTTCCTATCACCTTGTTTACTCAAGATGTTAAAAATTTTCAAATCATTCTCACTCCAGCTGTTTCCTGAGCACTTCTTTGGAAGCAGAGTTTTACTTTAATAGAAAGGGGATTTGAATACAACAAAACTATTTGAAGTTTAATCAAATACTTTTCCTCTATCATCTCCCTCATTTTAGAACAAAATATTAGGTCTGACCACACCAAAAAGCCATGAAGCTGTTTGCAGGTGTAACTGATTTTTAAAATATTTCTTAATGAAATGTGTTGCTACAGCAATGGGCTGCAAACTGCTCAGAAAACAAGAGTCATGTCTAATGTATTGACACTGTGACACCACTCTTTTAATATGAATCTTTTCTTATAAAAATATATTGCAAATATTTCCCAGAATGATAATGAAATTTCTAGATTAATTCACAGCATGTGCTGCTCCAGTTTAACAAAGAAGAAATATTTTCTTACACCGAAAAAAATAAAGTTAAGAAAAATGTTTCCTGCACATTTGCTGAGTAAATAGACCACAAAACTTATAAGCAATTAAAAAAAGTAAATCAGATTATCAGCTCTGCTAAAAAAGAAATCACATTGTATTGGTGACCAAGCCCTTCCATGACACTTTTAATAGCCTCTCCATCAACAGCCTAATTAAGTAGGACAATGATTATACAGAAAAGTGAGATGGGTTATTTAATTAGTGCAATTATTCTGCATGCATATGCACATATATGCAAACACAGGTAGTAGGTGGGTAGGTGTGTGCACGTATGCACTTACCTATACATTTCAGAAAAGGAACTGCTCTTTATCCACACAATGAAGGAAAGGCATCATTCTGAAGCATTAGATTAGAACTTCAGTATATTAAATACATATATACCTCATGGAATATTCAACACAATAAGCTCCAGAAGTTTCATTTGTTAAAAAACATGGAAGGATTTGGCATTGGAAGATTTGGGAATATAGTGGAAAGCAACACGACAAGACATGAGAAGAGAAATAAAATTGCCATCTGGGACAGGGTGACCAGATGACAAGTAGTGATAAAAAGATCCAGAGTCTAAGGCAGTTCTGAAATCCTGATGAGGTGGAAGCTAACTTGGCATGAAGGCTTGGAAAAGCAAGTAGCAGGAGACAAAAACAGACAACGTGATTTGAACAAGAAACTAAGAAAATGATTGGACAAGCTGTTAGAGGAATCTCCAATAAAGCACAGTCTAGGCATTATCAGCACAAAAATGTGACAGTGACTTCTCTGGTAAGGACAGGAGACAATCAACACAACTCAAACCACAGAACTTAAGAAGACAACACACAGTACATTCTGACTGCCCTGATTAGATTTTAGAGACAGCATTAAATTGTCAATTAAAGTAAGGAACAATAAAAGTAACATTATTGTATTCATCACTCCTACTAGAAATCAAGAACATTTATATTACACATAGATATGGCTTATCAAGTCTCATGAAGCTTACAAGTTTCAGTAGCAATTGAAACTAGTAGAAGTAGTTTACCTGTAAAGCAGCCTTAAGCAGCATTTGAAGAAAAAATAAAGATTGTAAACAACACTGGCAACAGCAGTGACCATAATTCATGGTAACTAGTTATTATTTCTATGGCCAATTAAAAGATAATTGCTCATAACTTCAGCAAGCACCAGTGCTCTCTCAACAGAGAACCTCTCAACTACTATCCATTCCTGAAACTGAGCCTTTAAGCCGAAAATACTTAAAATTTGATCTTCAACATTAATTCTCAAGTTCCATCTTTCCCATTTCCTCCCTCTCTTCCCCTTCCTTGCCTGCAGTTATCTCCTGACTCCAAGCACAGCATGTCATCTCTGCCCTCATCATCACATCTGCTCAATTTCACAGCAATCCTAATGCTTCCCACCAACTCCTAAAGGGATGACAGGATGCACCAATAAAAATGTTTACAGCAACCAAAAATGTTATCTTTTCCCATTAGTATTAATATTGGCTCCTACTAAGGCTACCCAAATTATAATCTCAACATGTTTTCATTCCTGAATTTAGTTATCAGATTTCATTTCTATTGGGTGGGATTTTTTAAAAGTTATGCCACCTGAACATATTTGAATGAGAGGAAGAAGTGTAGCATTACCTTTAAACTGGTATCTAATCCCTTTCAAAAGTGTCTGTAGCTCACTACCAGAGAGTGGAAATACTTTTAACTTCTAGCATTATACCTGCAAAACCAATACTGATCTAGAGCTTCTGAAACATCCAAACAACAGAAGTAATTCCCCCAACATGAATTACCTAACTTTTTCTCAAGAAGTAATAAGAATTATTGCACAAATCTTCCCCAAAACACCAGTTAAAAGTTCTCAATTTCATATCTCTGCACAGTTGAACCAGTACATTAGACACTCTTTACAAAAGTTTACTTTTGTTCTTCATATCCAACACCAGCTGCCACACAAGTTCCTAGTGCTGCACTTGGATTTGGCACAGTCCAAAGTGAAACTTATGGCTGTATAGCTGTGCAGCACATACACCTCTTCTACAAACACATAGCATGGAAACACAGAAACCTGTACAACTTATTCAATTCAAGAGGTAATAGGAATTAGGAGTTCTATTGAAATGCTAGAATCCCAGCATTCAAATAAATTCTACTGTTCTATTTATGTTTCAGTAAAAACTAAGCATAATATTTTGTTCAGTAACACAAAATAGTATCTGCAATCCAACCTTACACTTAATGACATGTCAGTCTGGCTCTCTGCACTAAAAATACCATCCCTTGTAGTTCTGATGCAGAGATGCTGGGGAGAGATGCTACAGATAAAAAAAAAAAAAAGTGTGTGCAGCCTGCCTTTTTACATTCTGTCAAGTACCTTTTGTTGAATAGTGGAGTGCTTTTGCTCCATATCTCTCTTCTCCTTCGCAGCATCTACAGCCAACTGATCCAGCTGTAAAGAGAAACAGAAAATTGGATCTTTAAATTATCACAAGAAATTTGGCTCAGTAGATTTCACAATGCTGACAAAAAAAAACCAAAAAAAACCCACACATTATGTCTAGACATTGCAGACTTTTATTTTATTTGCATAGCATAATCACTTCTTTGTCAGAAATTGTTTACCTTGAATAACCACTGAAGCCTCGTTTAAAGCACTGCTCTGCCACCCTGAATTAACCTCTACCAAGGTGTACATTTCTTGTAAGCATTAGAAGAACTGTTTCAAAGAACAGCATGGTGCCAAGCATATGCGACTCTGTACCGCATTGGTGCTCAGTCTCCCAAGAGGATGACTCATGCTTTAGCTGCTCTTGCTGGCCTATGCAGCAGCACTGGCAGGAGCAGCAAAAACTGGAAGGAGCAAATACGATGGATTTTTCCCTCCACAAAGTGGGAGAACTGTCTCAACCAAGATTTTGTGTCGATAGTTTTGATCAGCTGACCAGCAGTACTGAAGTCTGCTTGAGATCTTAGGTAGAGACAATCAAATTAATTTTAAATAAAAATAAGGTTTTTATTCTGAGATTATCACAGAAAATATTTAAGTTAGTATCCTTACAAAGTCTGTGATGATAAAAAGGACAATAGCCAAAAAATTTCCTTTTACAATCATAAAAAAAAAAGAGGAAATTTAGGATACCCTGTAAGAGAAAGTTTGATTGGTGTTTTTTCTTCTGTGATAAGTTACTTGTTTTGGTTGTTTTTGTTTTACAGCTTTGTTTCCTTTGGATTTGTTGTTTGTTTGTTTTATCCAGGCCCTCATGTTTAAGTAAGAAATGCAGTGGAGAAGCAGATGTTGCCCGAAAGGCCAGCTGGTTTGGTACTTACAGCCCGTAACACGAGGCTGCCATCACCCAGCTGGAGCCCGGCCGTGCCCAGCGGTGCAGACGCAGTGCTGCCTGCAGGGCTCAGCCCGCAGCTCTCCGTCTGCGGGACAGGGCTGCTCTGCTCAGGGCCCACAGCCAGAACTCCAGGAGCAGCAGCACCAGCTCCCAGCTGGGTCACTCTCTTGGCACTGGGCACAATGACCAACAGATTCTCTGATCCACCCACAGAGAGGATCCCCAGCACTCGCTCTCAGAGCCACAAGTGGCAGGCCCTGCCAACTCCGGCTGTTTCCCCAGTCTTTTACTTCCCCTGCCTGACATGATATAAATAACCAAAAAGGGACAATAACAGGCCCTTACACCCTTATGCTAGACATTCTCCAACAATTATGGAGCCATCAGAAAGCTGAAACATCTGGATCCAATTCCATGACTTTTTTCCGATTTACTTTTTTTAACTCTTCTTTCCCTGTCCTCCCCTCTGGCTCAAAAAGCCGTATCAGCACTTGCACACCTTTACAGGTATTGGTGAACAGGAACACATTGAAGGCTGAAGTGTCCAAATGCCACATCTATGTAGCTTTAGCACTTAAAAATAACACGAGCATCTAAAAGAGAGCCTGGGCTCAAAGAGTGTTTTGCATCAAGAACTCTTGAGAAACCCTTTCTCTTGTGATAAAGATGAGAACTGGGTCAAGTGCTGTTCAAAATTTTATAGGAATCAAGTTTCTTGCTAAAACTTCAGATTCAGGAATCTGCACATGGCTCCCAGTAAATTCTTCCTTCTACCCCATTAGAATTAATAGAAGGCAGTCACTCAGGGTAGGGCAATTACCTCTAATTTACCTTGAACACAAGCGTTTGAGGGTACATTTACCACAGCCAAAACAAAATTCTTAACAGCAGCTCATTCCATCAGTTACTTTTTTTACTATGAAGACAGCATTGCACCATTTCTGTTTTCAAGCTAAAGCCAGAGTTTCTTCCTTCTCACTCAGGTGAGCAACACATCAATTGTCTTAGAAGAGACCAACAGCATATAACTATCAAAAGCTGTAGTAAATCACAACTAAACTACCAAAATCCCAGTCATTATAACATTACTGGGTAATTTTCAGAAAATTAGGTTTTTCAAGCTAATGCATTTACTGGTAAATGTATTTTTATAAACATAATGCTCTAACTGGCATTCTGAGGAGAATTAAGTCAGATTAAAGTATTTAGCTTTTTGAGTAGTCATCTCAATAAAAATTCAAGTGTTTTCTTTTTAAGCTAATACCACATTTCATATGAAAAGAAGCAAAAATAATAGTTTCCATGAAAAAGCTCATATTATGCTTGCACACTATTAAAGATTCCCATACAATGATCTGATTCCCAAGGGATCCTACCCTAACCTGAAGTATCCAGAAACCAAAATTGCTTAATCCTATTCCATCACAATAAAACAGATATTTTGAAAATACAGACAAAAATAATTCAAAACGGTAACTATACTATTTAAGATCAATTTTATTACTTCAGATGCTGTTAACCCTTGTAATTAAGATCATACACGAAATTCACCTAGGAATGAAAACTCACTCACCAACAGATGGAATCTAACAGCATTTTCACAAAAATCCAGCAAATCCCCGTTATGTCACAACATACTTTGTTAAAGGCAGAAGCTTCAACCAGTACAAGCTGCAAAGCCATCAACTGTTAAAACTTTCAACAGTTATTTACAAATCTGCTTCTGTCATGAAAAATATCCATTACTTAAATGCCAAGGTCTGCTACAAAAGAACAATTCCGCAAGTTGTACAACTTTAGGGTCTTCAATCCATCTTGCTCCAACTGCAATATATTTAAAACATTCTTAGCTATGGATTTTCTAAATTTAACTCCTTCAGTTGCTATGATACCAGCACCAAAATGAATGCTACACAGTGCTCCTTACCAGATCAAGCAAAAGCATGACCAGACATTCCAAAATAACCTTGTGTTTTCTTGCTTGAATCACGTCAAAGAAATGGAAACATTGAAGCCTGGCTGATGGCATGACCCACTATTAACTCCATAGTTTGTATCTCCTTTCCCTATCCCCTCTTCCACAGAAGTACAGGACACGTGTTACACAGCCAGACACTACAGTTCAACACTTACAACCCAAACTGGAAGGATGTTGAAGAATAAAGGGCAGAACTATGGAAGAGTAACACCCACCTGAACTGTTCAGGGGCCCTTATTACACCAGGACCAGACATGTCTCTACACATAATTAAGACCCAACTGGGGCCTAGTCTAGCAGAAAAATAACTATTTAACTATTGGGCTGTTGGAGTTATTTTCTACAGCTCCACTGCACAGCTCAGAACAATTTAATCTCTTAGCACATCTACTCAAGATGAATGTAGAAGTCTGCTGTCATTTATTTGCTTTTTTACCTGGACAGACACTTAAAAATTTGGTTGGCTTTTTAGGGATTCTGTTTGGGAAGGGGCAATAGAGGGGTTTCTATCAGAGCACCTGTTGCAAGCCCTCAGGTGGAGGCAAATAGAAAGTGCATATAACTTGCACTGAAAAACAAGTCAAGACACTGCTGAGTCTTCTTCCTGCACCACAGACACGTCTTCATTTCAATAGTGTATGTTCCAATCTATTTGCATAACCATTTTCAATGTCTCCTGTGTGCCGTTAGCAGTGGTCCATCTAAGCTTTTCATGAGTCCCTCAGTGAAAACCCAGAAGTGTCAATTGTCTGTTCTTAAACTGGGCAAGAAGGATTCCATGCAGGAACTAAATTTTGCACTACTTATTAAAATCATACTTCCATTTTATGGTCTAAGTTGCTAACATCAAAGTTATACTTACACACATGAAAATTTAATTATGAAGACTGCATAATTTATAAAGTAAATAAATTATATGAGTAGAAGGAAAACCCGCCTAATCTACTTTTTATTATTAGATATATTTATAAACATGGGTCATATACAAAAAATTTTGAAATCCAAATAATCTAGTATCCTGAATATCACAATGTACCTCACAGAGCAGTACATGGCTATGCTTAAGTATGTAAATCCTAAAGGCAGTATTAATTTTAGTAAACAAACAACTTTCAGTTTGTAACTATTTTCATTCCTTTTATTACAGCATACTTTTAATGTTTTGCCTGTATCATACTACAACTCCTTTTTTGTTGAATAAATCTATGAAATACCTGATATGCAGGCATATAGCAAGATTTCTTCAATTTCAGCATATAGTTATGCATTTTGAAAATAGTTTGTTACCTGTGCACCAAGTTCTTTCATGTAGGGCTCAAGTTCACCAAACAGATCATAGCCTTGATGGAAAAAAGCCAGATGTGCATACATAAACGATAACATCTAGAAGGAACAAAGTAAATATTTATTCTCTTAAAAATTGTATCACATATCAAGTAAATATGTCACTTAATTCACATAACCTACAATTTCAGGTTTAATTTGTCCTCTCATGTCCTGACAGTTTTACATCAATATGTCAGAGAGCTTCCAATGTTGTAAAATAAACGTGCAAAGTAAAGCAAGAACAGAACCAAACCAAAAATTTCAGAAATCAGTTGATAGCATTAGCTCCGTGAGCAAAACAACAGAAACCTACTTAATGGCAGAAAACTACTTCTAATTCATGTCACCTGAAATTTTTGTTCTCTCTCTTTAACTGCGACATGTAAGGAACAGAGGGGCTATAGAATATTTTTCTAATGATTCAAACTCATAAGCTTTATAACACAGCTGAAAAGACTGTCTGGCCTTAAAACAGAAAACAAGTTGGGAAGGTGCAGAGCAGAATAGCAGAGATTAAGAGATTAAAACATTTGATATACAGAGAATAAAGTATATCTTACCGATTTTAAGATTTCTGCTCTCCTTTTAGATTGAAGAACATTGATCTAGGAGAAAAGAACAAACAAGCAATTCCTTTCATTCTAAACTTATTTTATTTTCAATTTTCCCTAAATAATCACATCCAAGCTTAAAACATTGGAAGAAGACAGCTCAATATTAGACTTCCCAAAACACTTTTAAAAGAAGATGCACTCTAGTTCTGTCATGACATCAAAGTGATGCAAACAGAGAACACGTGCAAAGCTTGAGCATCACGGCCATAGTCACGATTTTCTTATACCAGTAAGGAAAATACAGGACACCGCTTGCTTGCTAGAAGAAATATAATACACCTTACAAGCAAAACTTGTTCTCATTTTCAAGAGATTGAATTCAAGATGCTTCAAGCAGATGAGCTAAGCCAGCCCACCAACTCCCTGCAGAAGTTGCACCGCTGCCAGGGCACAGTGAAGGATGGGGGCAGGGTTACTTTTCCCCTCAGACTCACAGTATTTAAGTATCCCAAAAGTAGTCCCAGGCAAGCAAGAACATAATAGTTTCAATAACTTTTCATGTGTAGCTGGGCTTTTAAGCTAGCTGAAGTCACTGATTAAAGGTGTTGCCCTAGAACTTGGGGAATGCCACATTATGTAGAAAAAATGACCGATTTTTCGCATTCACCTAGTTCCCCTATCTTCTTTAGCTGATCTTAAAAGGTTGCCATCCAAAACTACAGATTTTACTTTAAAAGACCCACTTAGCAGAAACAGGCATGATTTTGTAATTTAACACCTCTACGTCAGTTTAGAATTTCAGCAAAATAAACAAACTTACTGAAGCTATAATCAAAACCAGATTCTACTTCTATACTTAAGTTGTCATTATTTTGGGAAACTTTCTGCAGCAAAAATAATTAAGATTTGTTTGTATAGAATAAACCCTCAGCCTGTGAGGCAAGAAAAACAAAAATAAAAGGAAAGCAAACGTTTTGAATTACAGTTTAAAGCCAATCTAGCTACAAGGAGACCACAGTTGTGAAGCCATTTTCCCAGAAGAATCACTCAAGTAGACATAATTCCTGAAGCTGAATTGATTTTTGTCCACATTGAGAGATGCTGGAACTGTCCCCAGTTACTCTAAATGCATTTTTATCCCAGGAACTGCTCATACTTTGAACATACAAATTCCAGGAGGTAAACAACCTGCAGTTCAAAGCACACATAAGGAACTGGCCTACTACAGTAGTGACTGCCAGCTGTCCCCACCATTTAGTGCTAGTACTAATAATCCTGTGGGGCATAATTCACATGACTTTTTAAACACCAAAATTACCTTAGTGCTTAAAAAGCTGGAGTTCAGAGCTGACCACTGATCACCATGTCTGTGAACATGCCCAGGCTGACAGGCTGCACTTCATTTTACAACTCATAATGCAATTTATAGAGAAGTTAATTAAGCTTTAAATAACTGACAGGACTGTCACAAATCAAGATGATAATGTCTAATACAAAACCAGCTTAATTGTAAAGAGTTGTTCTTTTTTGATCATAGGAGAAGCTCAGACCCATTTGGGAGCCCCCAACATTTCACACCATCTGAGTTGCAATAATCCTGCTTTGCTGTAGTTGTGTGTAAGTATGAAGCAGATGAATTTTAAGTATCTAAACAAAATTTATTACTGTATTACAGAATACAAAGCAGCATGACAAAGAACACCTCTCAACACCCTATGGAAGGTATTCACTAAAAAGGTAAAGGATAGTAAAGTTTTTGACTCCCCTTATAGCACAATGCCAAACTGAGGCATCTAGACAAGCTGAATACAACCCAAAGCATACAGATAAAATTGCAGAAATACTAATGTCCTGTATCAATATTATTCAGTAATTTGTATTTCCTATGCTAGCTTACAGTTTTTACTTTAAATATATAAGATATTGCAGCATATGTCTATCTCATGAAACATTTAGCTAAGCATCAGGCAAATACTGGGTTTTTTTTCAAAATTAATGTTCAGCTTGAAAATTAAACTGTGCCATTGCAGCAAGGGCACTGAATACCACAGCATTAAAGCAATAAGAATGCATCAATTAATTTTCCTCAGATTTTATTAAAAAATTAATTACTTGCAGATAAAGTTCTTCCTTCTTCCCTGAATCTCCACAGCTTCCAAGAAGCTTACAAAAAGAACTTCTAACATTTTAAAGGACATGTCTCTAACCATATGTAACAAATGGTTTTGAAAAGTAACTTTTATTGCTGTCCTTACTTGAAGAACATAATCCAGAGCTATGTGTCGAAAGCACTTCCGTGTTGCAGTCAAGATATTGGTTGCTTCCTCTACCTCGTGTTGCTTATTTCTTTGAACTTGGGCATTTTTCACCAGAGCATTCTCCTTTTCTTCACTCACTTTTTCAAACTGTTTCTTTGCATCTTTAAATTTCCTAATATCTCTATGGAAAAAGGAAATATGGTGACAAATTAATTTCAAAGCATGAAAAAGAGTTTAAAGCTACACCAGACAGACCAAGCTTGGGACTGCTGTAGCTGGTGTCTTTTTCAAATTCTATATTCTTCAATACATGCTTGGGTCAAACGGAAATCCACAAATTATGACAGAAGCCTCTTGTCTTTCTTTTCCAGGGAAAGGACAAAATTGAAATGCAACTGAATACAGCTAATGCCTACTGGGCAAAAGCTTTGTCCCCCAAGCTTAGACAATCACCCTATTGCAACATTTCTGCAGCTGGATCTAAAGCCTCAGTGATTTGGGGTGATTTTTGACAAAGCCTTAATACACACTTTGCAATTTATGGGTGACAATTTACAAGAAGGATGTTTCACTTACCCACTCAAATCAGATTTTTAAAATTCCATTTTATGTCTAATTTTCCCATTACAAGTGCAAATTAACTTACTCTTTAACGAAAGTCTGAAGCTGTGTTTTAATTGATCTTTGGATTTGGTCAAACAGAATCTGAAAGAAAACATTATTATGTAGGTCAGTAACTCGGATGTATTCATACCTTCTGATTTCAGAAATACCAATGGAATTATGCAGAATTAGATGAGAATTATTATTAAACCATTGTGTCCCTAATATCAAAATATAAATCCCTTCACAGTGGTTTTGAAATAAATAAAAGATAAGGAAGAAAATAAGGAAAATAACTCAAACCAAACATCTTTTGTTGCTCTTTCCTTGAAGACTGGTTATAAGGAGAGATAAGAGCTCCTGGCATCTTATTCTCTCATCCTGCCATGCCTAGTTTCATAGAAGACGTTTATTTATGTTAATTGTACAGTAATGTTCCTGAAGAAACAACTTTGAATGTTAAGGAATAATTTTTTTTTTTGTTCTTAGACTTTCACAGTTTATCAACAATTAAAAGACAAATGAAACCACAGAAAAAACATGCACTTAAGTTCTGGCAAAAACCCCAAAACCATGGATTGAAATTAATGCTGAAAATGTAACATACATGAGTATTCAGTACTTTACAATCCTTTACATGAATGTTTGTAAAAACCACCCACTGTTGGACAATTAAAAGGAATGGCGGATTCTTTTTAAGAATAAGTAATCTAAGCAATGCCTCCAAAATTTCTTATGATTTGGGAAGGCTGAGGGCACAAAATATAATCAATTCATTTGAATTGTAAAGTCTAAGATATTTGCTCATTCTTTAAGGCCAAAGCACACCTGGATGTGAGATAATTTGAATGTTCTCTTATGACCCAAAAAAATTCTAACTGGAAAATGAAAACACACATTCCTTCAGCTTCACATCTGCCCTTCGAGTTTTAGGATGGAATGTAACAGGTCAATGACTACTGGACAAATCCTTTTGTCACTTCTTATTGTGCAGACAACAAATGTTGCCTCAATTTTCAACCCCCCTACACCTCCAATTCTGCATAACAGAAATACACAAGGCAGCCTCACAAAAATATAGTTGGCCCAGTTGAACAGAATCTCTCATAAAAAGTAAAGATCATGAAATATTAAATAATTTTCTTGAAAAAGCAAGTCAAAACCTCAAAGTTTAAGGTCAAGAAAATATTTTCTTTAAATGTTCTCAGTCTTAGATTCTTTATTAAGATTTGGAAATGGGAAGCTATGTAATGCCAAGTACTGACAGCAAAACCTTTACCAGCTCATGTCTCTTTCCTAGAAACACTGAAGGGAAACATGACTGAGTTTAAGCCACTCATTAGCAGTGGTACTGTACCTTGCATCCAGTCTCCATGCTAGGAGGCTTTCAAGACCAAAGCAACCTGCTCCAACCTCACACCTGACCCTGATTTAGGCAGGCAGTCAAACCATCCACACCTCCTGAGGACCCTTCCAACCAGAACTGTATCTATCAGTGACACATGGAAGAACCTGTTTGTATTCCCACTTTGGGAAACAAGAAAAGCAGACAACTAGAATAAAGAACTTCTTGACAAACTGGAAGTCAGGCTGGGACTACTCCCACTGCTGACATTTAAGCTTGCCAGTGCCTGGGGAGTGCACCAATCAAGATCAATACCAAAAGATAAAACCAGATGGGAACTCAAATGTTTAGAGGACTCCCAGAAATATGAGCCTTGCATTCTGCTTACAGTAATGAAGAGAAAAAAAATGTGCTGGGCAGAAAAATACATTGACATCATTTCCCCTAAAAAACACAGAAATAAGTGCCCAGACCATGATCTGATTAGATTTATAGCCTTGTCAACCTACTACCTTTCATACACTCCAAGACTAAGAAAGTTGCTGTTTGCCATAAGCTGTCACAGCTACTCCCCCACTGCTGAATCAGTGAAGATGCTGCATTAGGCTGGTCCCTGGCCTTATCTGTAGCAAAGCCTCACATGAAAAAACTGACAGTCATCCAGAACTCAGTGGCAGCATCTCCTACCCCTTCCATCCTTCCTTTCTTCTTTCTTCCTCTAGCTTCTCCCTCCTGCTGGCTCTGTCACCTTGGTCAGCAACAGACCTGTGACTCTGAGCCAGGAAGCCCTGTTGAACTCCGCAGATTCACAAAAAGCAATGCAGGACCACAACATGTCTGGCAAAGCAATTGTGCCTCACTCCTGATGTTTGTGCCTTTGGTAAAAGCCACTTTGTTCTCACTATGCCTGAACACAGCAACAGCATGGAGGGGAAAAAAAAGCAGGGCAGAAGTCAGATTGGCCCTAATTAGATCTCAAAAGAAATCTTCTTTAATATGGTTGTTCTTAGCTTTCTGCCTTCAAACTGCCCAAAAGGAAGAGTTGTGCTATGCCAAATTTTACCAAAGCAGTGCAAGCCACCATCACGTACAATAACAGCAGCAATAACACAGGACCTATGTCAGAGGTGTCCAAAAGAGCAAACCATAGATAAGACATGGGTAAGAGGGATCCCAGCAGCAAGACTTGCGATGAAGAGGGACAGCCTGGGTTCATCTGCTCCATCTAATCTGCAGAAATTGTTGACATGAACATAATACCTGCTCCGGTACTGCTGCTTTGAATCTTTGCACTCCCTTCTCTCTCCAGCCCAAGGAGCACTGTTCACTTTCTCCCTTCTTTACAGTTTTCATTAGATTAAGTGCAAATATGTACACTTTGTATATTGGAAAGAAAATCAAACACAATGCTATTAACCTGCTTTGCTTTGCTTCCCTTCCATTCTAAAAGCATAAATTAAAAAAAAAAAAAAGCATAATCAGACACTTTTAGAAAGCTAAGTTAAAGCTAGCAAACTTCCATTCTATTCTGTCTTGTTATTTAAACTCCCAGTGGTATGAAAACCCCACATTTTAAGTGTGCTGCATATTTTCAGCACTTTGGAGACACTTCAGTTTGTTTCCAGCAATTTGCTGGAAAATTAGCAAAGAGCAGTTGGGCCAATGAAAGATGAAAAAACCAGAAGAACAAACTTCTGAATACAAGACCAAACTCTTAAAGAAAAAAAAAAAAATTAGTTTTCAACCCAGGGAAAACTGAAGTTTCTGATTAACTGTGACATGCTAAAAATACAATTAATCTTAAATCCTAGCATTTTCACATTTCTCCACACTTAACTAAATCTGCTATCCTTCCAAAAAGAAAACTATATGCAAATCATAGGTGCTTCATTTTGTGTATTATAAAGGATAGGGGAAAAAAGTAGGCACTATGGAAAAGACAATAATTATTTCAGACCAGCAAAGGTATAAGCTCATAACCTGTAACTGTTACCATCAGTTTGATTCAAAAAGATGAAACTATCCAGTATTTACTGTCTTAGAGCACCAAAGCTTACAAATTCCAAATGAAAAATAAGCCAAGATGGCAATCTGCGGAAAAGTGGATATTTATAAATACTTTGTAAACAAAACATTAATAAAATATTTATAAGTATAAAACAAGAGTTATCTAACACCATTTAAACCATTATTTTGCAAACACTATCAACAAGAAAGGCTTTACCATTAATCCATTATCAAAAATAACTGGAGGTAAGCCATCACTGCCATGTTGCAGCTAGAAATACTCACATTATGATAATTGATCATTTCCTGTAAGGTGTCAGAGAACTTCATCAAACTGGCCTGTAAAGAGAAAATAAAAGTGGTTTAAGTTAAGCCCTATTAAAAACACAGCACAAAAGCAACAGTTCAAAGGTTTACAGTTTTTCAGTAAAGAACTTGGAAATTGATTTTCCTTACAGCACTATTATGAGACTAAAACCACTAGGCTATTATGAGAACATGGCTGTAATAGCAAATAAATCTATTAAAGATACAAGCAACAAAGATGTTACTTCTATCTACCTGTATATAAAGCACCAAACTGAAGAAAAGCAGGAAAAATTCAAATTGACTAAAGATATGGGATGCTCACATAGTCTAAAACATTAATTTACAGTATTTAATAATACACTAATGAATATTTTTCACATTTCAAACTGTTACTCAAAAAACAGGTTATCATGTTGCAATCACCAGTGCACACACTAATCTAACACATTTTCTGAAATCTGGCAGACCCATGTCACTGCTGAAACTAAATAGCAGAGACACCTGCAGTGCACCACAGCTGGAAAACCCCTAGTCTAAAAGAGACAGCAAATAAAAAGGAGCAAAAAGGCAAATAATACTATAAACTTCAACTACTTCTCTTGCCAACTCTTATGTTGTACCTTTTTAAACTTATGTTTCTCTCCCTCCATTTTCACATCAAAGAACTTACCTCAACCAATGTATCTTTACAGGAATATTGCGCAAGGTCTCGAATTCCATTCATGAACTGCTTGTTGGCTGTACAAAATGCTTTCCCAGTGTCAATCATTGCAATACAAAGCTTCACCAGCTAAAATGAATATAAAAAGAGAGAGAAAGCGGAAGGCTTATTTTGATTTGGTTTTCACACCATCATATAAACATGAAAACACTGAGCTTAGTTAAGGCTATAAAACTAAAATTTCAAAAGTTACATTCTCACCCTCAGATTCAGTGAAAAGCTTTCTACTGTATAGTGACAGCTGTGAAAATACTACTCTAGGTCAACAGATATGCTACTGGGAGAGCTACCATGCTATAAAGTTTTAAAATTATTTTTACTCGATTTATTGTTAACTGACATGTTGCACATATTTCAAAAGAGAGTTTTAAATGGGCAAAAAGTACAGCAACATAAATGGTTAGAACATAAATGGTTAGAACCCAAGCAAATGATGAGGTTATTGAGGTTTCTGAGGAGAAACACCACAAAACAAACAAAAACAACCCACACTGGTTGTTTCATTCTCAGACACTCAGAATACAGGCACAGGAAAGCAAAAGGCTCTGCGCAAAGCACAACTGAAGAGCCATGGTTACATCTCAGGAGGTGAAATCAATCATGTTTCCACTCACAAACAGGCTAATCTCTGATGGCTTTCTACCCCTACCACTCACTGCTTCAGTCAGCACCTCAGGCCTCCTGAGGACAGGAGGATCTTCAGTATCTTGTTCTGGATGCTTTCCCACTTCTTGAACCATTTATGCACTGGGCCATTAATGTAAGAGATAGTGGTTATTGCAATCGCCACAAGGCTCTCTTGAGATGGGGCGCATTAGGATTGAGTTCCCCCACCCTAAGCCAAGCTAAGAATAAAACCAGAAGATTCAACTTTCATCTCTGAAAGATTTTTCAACAATGGTAAATAAATTTTCATGAAAAGCAACACAGAAGCACTTGATCCTATGTTGGGGGCAAAGAAACAATCCAAACATCCTTCCTGCCTTAGTTATGCAGTAATTTTTATGTTGACTCAGATCCTTAGGAAAAATGGAAGGCTAAGTGTGATCTTCCACATTCTGATGAATGTCCAAGTTGCTTGAACAATGAACAAAAAAAACCCCACTATCAACATTAACCTTTTTCCTTCACCTTTGCTTATAGTTCAGAAGCCTGAACCGGGCTTGCTTTCTTCCAGAGAGCATAAAACTGCAGACAACATAGCCCAAAGTCAAAATTGTGAGACAATAAAACCAAGTTTAGTATGAACAACTGATCACAAAAAGTTACCAACCAAGCCTAAACCAATTATTACCCTCAGGCCATAATTGCTTCAGCTCACCCAAGACGCTTGGCTTTCAACTTTAGTATTGTACTACAAGGCCCTGAATAATGCCATTTAAGGAATATGAGAATTCTTTTCCCCAAAAACTTTCAGACTAGTGGAAAAGCCAAACTTGCAAGTTTGATTTTTCAGATCCTTTAAACACTTACACTGATCTACCAAAACAGATTCAACACCCCTACAGTAAAAATGTGTGTTATACCCAAAAGTTTCACCAAGATTCACACCAAATCAAAATTAAGGATCCTGAATTTATTTTGCAAGAGCAAATTGTTAGATTATTAGCTACTAAAAACTAGAAATACTATTACAAGTAGTAAAGAACAAGTCTTCAGGCTTGACACCATCTTTATTTGCCTCCAGCTCTCTGCAGCCAACTCACAGCTGCAGGAAAAAAAGGTTCAAAAAGCAGTTAAGGAGGAAAACAAATGACATCTGCCTACCATGCGAAAACTCAGATAAAAATAATTTAAAACATTTAGCATAAACACAAAGGAAAGAAGACTTTATACAGATGAAAACCAAAAATAAGCCACTCTCAAAATACTAGCAAAGAAATAACAAAAGTTTCCAAAGGTGAGGAAACCAATAAACAGATATTAAGGAGTTGAAAAGGTGCTACATATATTTTGTTTTATATATGCCCAAAGCACGACAAAACACAGGATGAATTTTACAGTAGTCAAGTTCTCCACACAACAGTGAAGGATATACATATATACATATATATTTTTTTATATATATATATATAAATATATATATATATACACACACACACCTGGCTGCTGTGCCTGAGATTACCAGTGACAAACAGCACGAATTTTAAACCTCTAAATCAAGGAGTACCCAGATGTCCCAGTGCAAGCTGTTGTGGTCAAACAGGCTCTCGGTGCAGCAGTGACCAAGCCCTGGCTCCCCGGGCTGAGTCACAGGGCGCAGTGAGGGCCACTCAGGAGGGAATTGCACAAGCGAAGCCTCCGCCCAGGGAAGGAGAGAGTGCAGCTGCCCGGGGCCGCCTTGCTCCAGCCTGGCCTCCGAGCTGTGAGCTCGACCTGGATCCCTCCCCTCTGCAGAGCAGGGCGCTTGGTCGGCCACTGACACTTTCCAGCTGTGAACTTTCAAACAAAACCGAAACACACTTTCTGATGTTTCTGAGACAAACATTGTTGAATTAAAAGCTTACCTTGTCAAGTTTCAGTTCCAGTTCTGTCACATCTCCTTCTACCTCTTCTAGAGCTGCCCTGCATGCATAAAAGAGGTTTTCCTTTAAAATTTTACACAAAAACACTGAGTCTGGGGACAAGGGGCAGAAACATATTCATTTAACTCATTTATTGCCATCACAGTTTTATTTAAATTTCAGTTATAAAACAGCATAGATTTTAAAGAACCACAAGAATTGCAGGAAATTTGACGGTACAAAGAAGAAAAACTACATTACTGCTAAAATGTGGTCTATTGATAAATATTTGAGATCAAATTTTATCAATCCTAATATTTGTCACACCAAAACAGGTTTCTTCTGTTCTTGTATAGACAATAGTCTATATGTTTGAAGCTAACAACAAAGGAAAGAAACTGAAAGTCGGAAGGAATTTACTTAACTCTTTTGGTGACCTCCTGGCTCAAACCCGCAAATAGTGCAGCTATTTTGTGAATAATCTTGCAATGAAATTAGGAAACAATACAGCACTTGCCATGTGTCAATTAACCTGCAGGGAGTTCAGATGGCACTCTTGACCAGACCATTTACCTCTGGTCTACACTGGTCAAATTTTCCAGGCCAGTCAAATTTAACTTGCCAGTAAAAGCTGCTTTCATGGAGCATTGCTAAAGGACCACAGTGTTGGGGTTTTTTTTTTTTTTTTTTTTTTTTGCTTCTTTGCGCCCATTGCTAAAGCACCACAGTGTTGGGGTTTTTTTTGTTTTTTTTTTTTTTTGCTTCTATGCGCATGTTTCTTTGGACACCTCCTTCCTTATTGCTACCTGAAAAAAAAACAGGAGACTGAGGATGGATGACCCTTTGTTCAGAGTCCATGAACACTGCTGCTTCATCAGGCTATTGCCTTGAGGGCCATATAGACTCATTTCTGGCAAGGAGAGCCCCTGGTGCCATCACAGGGTGCCCATTCTTTCAGTCATTCCAGCATAACTGTTCATGGAGCCACACTGTTTACCAGTAGTAGCCTGTCTTGGGGAAAAAAGGGGAATAGGAAGTTTTCTGAAATGCATTTTTGGAAAATTGGATCAGACATTTTATATTTCAGTCCTACAGAAAAACCCAGCTCTTCCTGGAAAAAGCTATACAGGCAGAGAAGAATGATTTGGAGCAGGAATTTCTCAAGCCAACTTTATGCCACTGAGGAGAGACTACACACAACCACAGCTTTACTGTCTCTTGCTAATTCCATTCTAGTTCACATGAGTACATGCCAAGAACATAAAAAAAAAAAAAAAAAAAAAAAAAAAAAAGAAAAAAAGACTGGATCAGGTCCCAAGTTCAGGAAAAGCAGTTTTTTTACAAGAACAGCTATGAAAAATGCTGCCAATTGCTTGCAGATCTTGAACACTGAGCATGACATTCCCAGCTTTTGCAGATTTCACTACACATAGTTGCATTCCAATTCTTGTACCTCAATGCATTCCCACAGTTATGTCCTAGGTTTTATATCCAAGCAATCCCTATACCTACATTTTGGCTTCTCCCTCTTTGCTAGCTTCAGACTATGAAGGATTTCAGGCAACATCAATTTCTCTTTTGTTTTCTTTCATAACTGATTCATTTCCACTTAAGTCTCTAGTTAATCTTGTTTCGGAAAGCATTAAAGAGAATTTAAAAAACCCAAAACCCAAAGGAAGGAAAAGCATCTCAATATTTATACTGCAATTTTGTATTTGTTTGTTTATAATCACAGTGCAACAAATTTTTATTTATTTCTTTGGCATTAACATAAAAGCACGATTAAGAAGCTTGTTTACAGAACTGCAGCAAGATCTGATAAGAGTATTATTTTTTCTGTGTCTTTAACTTGCAAAGAGTTCTAGCTCCACAGGACTTAATGAGCTAAAAGTCTAAGATTCAAAATGAACAGAGATAAAGGCAGTTAGAGCAGGCAGAATGAAGACAACACATCTGCTCAGTAATTAAACCTCTATTCCAAGAGCCAAATTTGAAGACAGAATAAGCTCAAATGGAAGAAGTACCAGCAGAACATTAAAAAACTGAAACAATGAAGATCAAGAAAAAAGAAGTATAAAGCCAAGCAGACAGAGGTCTGATATGCCAGATCTCTGAAACACCACAGGCCCCTGAGGTACCAGGCTGGTTCTCTGGGCTATTTCCCACCACTGCCATGTGATAGAGGGATGGCATATCTAGGCCCTACAGCTGGAAATGGATGGAACAGCAGTAGGGTTTCAGCCAAACCCCACTTTAATTCTATGTTTCTTAGCATAGAAATGACTACTTTTTCCACCACATAAAATCTAGCAGAAGTTATTATCATGCAAACATATTTGCAGGTATTAGTCGAAAACTGGATTACAATCACAAAAACAATGGAGAGGATGCCCTCAGACTATCAGAATATAGTTATATACATCCAATTATGTACCAACTAGTCACAAAAATTGTCTTCATGTTTTCATCCTGGGCTAGCAATACATGAAAAACATCTGATCTGAGCTGTGCTATGTTAATGCTACCTTGTTTTTCTTAATACTTTTTGAAGTCACAGAATGCAAAGGTGCATTTCTCTCTGAAACATCTGTGTCAGGCATAAAGTTCACAGAAAACTGCCATAATTCAGAGTAAATGTCATGTCCACAGCCAAGCCCAACTGTCCAGCTGTAAACACAGGAAGTGCTGGTGAAACAGCTGAGGACCAAGTGCCAGACCTGACATGTAACAAAACTGTTGCTCCTCAGTGAACTGGGAGCTTGGAGCAAGATTTGAGTCGCAGTGATCTCAGCCAGAAGGCTCCAGCAATAAGAATAAGGATCAAATCAGGTCCAGTGTATGAGTCAAACATCTGTGGCTTCCCAAGATGTTCAAATACTGCATGGCAACGCACAAAACCAGAACAGCTGCTTAAGGGTGGAGGACAATTATAAATGAGCAGTCTCCCATACTCTTCATGCTCTGTAATGAGGACTCTCAGGAATGTGTTTCTTTGCTCTGCTGTGACTTCTCTCCTCCACCACCCCCTAAAGCACAGCTCAGTTTGCTAGATACAGCTTCCTGAACAGCTGCAATGCAGAAGGAATACAGGAGATAATGGAAGAAAACTCAAGACCTGACTTGGCAGCCTTTTAAAATGAGGATAATGTCACCAGTTACCCAGCCCAGCATATGTGAAGGACAGCTGAACTCTGACATCCATCACAGCACTCCCTTTAAGTGACCAGTAAAAGACTTTCTCCCAGTTTAAGGTACTACAAAAACCCTAGGAACCAAACAGAATGATGACGGATAAACTGTCCTCCAAAAAAACTGGGTCACAATACACTGCTGACCAGAACACCACACACACCATGGCCATGGACAGGGGTCTGCAGGGCCTGTTTGCTCTCACAGAAGAGGGGTGATTGCCAGCGTTTTTAAATTCAGCTCCTCTTCAAAGAAAGTCTAATTGCTATTGAAGCCACCCTGCCTTTAGTCCTTTGCTCATTCGTTCATTGTATTCTATTTTGCATATTCAGATTGTGTTCCTGAAAATGAGAAGGCTGGAATCAGTGGTCACTCTAAATCAGATGCTGATAAACAACAAACTGAAGAGGTCAAAGGTGCTATGGGCAACTGACTAATATTTATTAATTCTAGAAATAATACATCACTATAAAATATTCAGAATAATAAAAGCCCAGCAATAAAATATTTTCCAATAGTGTGGGGTTTTTTTTCTTTTAATTGAGAAAAGTTTCAATTAATTTATTGACTATACTTTCAGAAGAACAGGAACAGGTCACAAAATCAATTTCTATTCATTCTGGGTCTTCTGAATACATTCATATATTTGGACTCATGAAATGGAAATAATGGATTTTTACCACTGCAGTTTCAATGGAATTACTGCTAAAGTCTTGTCCTCAAATCTTAGAAAGAGACAGCTCTCTTACTTGCACATATTCTATGCAGAATAGCTCCTTAATGCACAACTTACTCTTCACTAGAGATGACATGCTTTCAGCCAACATCCACTAAACTTTCAAGACAGCTTGAAAAGAAAAGGTACTACTGAATGTAAAAACCTGGAAATGAGATACAAATTGCAAGATAAGAATATGAACCTGATGATTTACATGAATGTCTCCTCCTCTATGTCAGAGCCTATTAGGTGACAGATAGCAAAAAGGAGAGTAGACATTAATCAGAGGATAGACTATGACCTGTAGTGTGATGCAAAGGCAAATTAAAATGCAGCTGTACCACAGAAGATATTACACTGCTCACCTGCTTGGTCTGGTTTGTCTTTGCCTCTCACTCCCTTTCCTCCCGCAGCAGCTGCATCTTGGGATCACCCTTCAGACACAAAGCAACTGCTCACAGGTGAGCTCAGAAACAGCCACAGACAGACTGCTGAGGGCAGCCTCAGGCTGGGGGAACACACACACCACTGTGACTAATGCCACTGGACACTGCCACTTTTCACTGCTCACCAAGGGCCACTCGGTTGCAAAGGTCCCTGTCCACCAGCACAGCCGCGCTGTTACTTTTCAGAGGAAGTCTTCACATTTGTCTGGGCTAAATCGAAGGAGCTTTCTACCTGTGCTTTCCCCTACCTTGCTGAGGTCCTGCTGGATGGCAGACCTACCCTCCAGCTTCTCACGGTTCCCTCCAATTGACAATACTGTCTACTTCATGTCATTTCCTTCATATATAATGAGATATACAAAGGTGTCCAGAGGCACATTAACCAGCTTGCCAAGAAGGAACACAGTTGGTATATGTGTTATGGCATCAGAAACCAGAGACTAAAAAAGAAACATGACATTATTGAGGAACAAAGAAGGCATACATGGAACAATAAGGCCTAATAACTTTGGATAACAGCATGGACAGATATAAGAAGAGTTTTACAACTTACGAGATGTGTCATAACCTTTAAAATGGTCTAAAGAAAGAACACTGTTGCAGCCTGTCATAGAGCCCATTGAAGTCCTGGTTTGGCACTGCAGAGTTTTTCCCCCACTGGCACAGAGCCCCTCCATACTGAGGAACAGATGATGAACTCTCCCTGAC